CTATCAGCCAGACAAATAAACAATGACAGAAAACATTCTTCATACCTCATTCTAGTAGAGCCCTGCAATGGCCGTTTGGAGCAAAGAATGTAGGTAACTCTACCACGTTAAGAAGCATCAGATAGACAGTGCATTTCATATGAGCGTGATAATTTTGCAGCGGAGCACACTGAAGATGATGATAATAATCACCTCAAAAATGCCATATCAGAGCTAAGTGATGTGGCAAAGAATAGTGATGGCACTCAAAAGAGGAGCTGTATTATTGCGCTGTGAAGTTAATTATACGTAGTCATGCCATAAGTTCTGTCCCTCGTTTTCAAACAAGTGTAGACCTGTTAATACTTGTCCGATTGTTTACATTGTGGTGTCAGTTGATTAAGCGCTTTTCGGGTAATTACATATACCTTAGTTTGTATTGATCTCTCGAAGCATAACGATGGAGTGGGGCAAGGCAGAGAACCGTATTGCAGTGATAGCTTTACATAAGTGTATGTTAATCACAGTGCTAGTCAGATTTTTGAACTCTTACGCGGCCTTCAAATATCGCGTAAATTTGTGTCTAGGACCATTCAGCGGTACAATGAGACGTCCTCTGTTGATGACAGGCCAAGAAGCGGAAGACCTCGTCAAGTAAGGACTCCAGCAGCCATCAAAGCCGTAAAAGCCAGGATTCAAAGGAATCCACTCCGGAAGCAGAAGATCCTATCCAGGGAAATGAAGATTCCTGTCCGGACGATGTCGCGCATCATTAAACAAGACCTAGGGCTAGGGGCTTACCGGAGACGTACGGGCCAGCGACTTACGGCCACCTTGCGACACATCAGGGCGACAAGATCCAAGAAGCTCTTGGAGAGGTACGCAGCTGGGGGATTCCGAAAGATTTTGTTCACGGATGAGAAAATCTTCACCATAGAAGAAAAATTCAACCGACAAAATGACAAAGTGTATGCAAGGAGTTCACAGGAAGCTTCGGAGATCATTCCGAGAGTTGAGAGAGGCCACCACCCTGCGTCAGTCATGGTTTGGTGGGGGGTGTCCTACGAAGGGGTCACTCAGCTCCATTTCTGTAAACAGGGCGTGAAAACAAAAGCGGCAAACTATCAGAGCGACATACTGGATCCTATCGTCAAGCCTTTAAGTGGTACATTGTTTGCCAACCAACACTGGGTCTACCAGCAGGATTCCGCCCCCGCTCACAAGGCTAAGAGTACGCAGCGCTGGCTGGAAAGCAATGTGCCAGAGTTCATTGCTGCGGAAGATTGGCCCTCAGGGAGTCCGGACCTCAATCCTTTAGACTACAAGTTGTGGGACCTGCTAGAGCAGTTGGCCTGCTCCAAAGCCCACCGTAATATCGAGTCCCTGAAAGCGGATTTGATCCGATCAGCGGCAGCTATTCCTTTGGAAGCTGTGCGTGCAGTGATAGATGAGTGGCCCGCGAGATTGAAGCAGTGTGTGAAGGCCAAGGGGGGACATTTTGAATAAAACTGTTTGATTATGAATTCTAAAAATGTTGTCGAATAAATAATATCTTTCATATAAATATATCTTATCTTGTTTCATTTTTATCATGAGATTATCATGGGACAGAACTTATGGCACGACTACGTACATAAATATTCGGCTATAAGTTGTCCCTACTTTATGTTTCTTATATGACTATATGGTCTAATATAAAATTATCTGTTTTCAATACGCGTTTCAAAATATGTATATGTATTCATATTGGATGCAATCTCAAATCAGTTTGAGCTATCAAAGTGATTCGTCATGAATATTTTGTTTATTGGCCGTGTACAGGCAAGACATGCAATCCCTAGATTAGAACATTAGAGGACAAAACTTTCAAGAACCATAATAATTAATACTATTTTTTAGTAAACACTAAATTTTACAAAATTTTGGTTACAGTTACAAAATGCGGAAATACGCGATTAGTTTGTTCCTACCTGTGCTGTTAGTTGTCATGTTGATCAACATTGTCATCTTAGATATTTACATTTATCCATATTCCTGCTTGTAATATGCCTCAAGGGTAAAAACGCGACTTGACTTATGATTTTTCTCTGATGAGTTTTTGTATTTTTGTAGTCTTATTTCTTTTGGGACTCTTTGAAAGTTAAGCAGATCTTGGTAATTGTAGTTATGATCGGCCTTTTCGGCTTTTTAGTGTATTTTCACCCTTTGTTGTTCAAACATGTTATTAAGTCATTGCAGTATTTTTACTTTTCTTCCAGCGAGACTCGGCACATATAAGAAAAATATTTTTGGTACAATATACGAAAATGTTCAAGTTTGACAACCTGGTAGTCCTCTATTTTCAAAGACAATCGGCCACTCCGGTACCCTTGAAAATAGCTGTAAATTTTCAAAATTAGCCATGTTGCTTTTTTTCCATGAGCTTTGGGTTCGACTGGAACTAGAATATACATGCTTATGCGTACACTTCAAGGCTGGGGGACAACTGTTAGGGAACATGGAACAAAAACCATACTACCCTAGTTTTATAAAAATACATTTACAATACCTTGTACATTTTTCATGCATAATCATCGCAGAAGTTTATTCAGAATTCTTAATTTTTAGCTTTATCAACTTGTCATTCGATGTGTGGAATTACATACCTTCGAATTTATGTCCATACTTTTTAAATGAGCATAGAATGGGAATTACTGAGTATATCTACTTGACATTTGTTGGTGCTGCTATTTTTTCTAGGAAGTGTCATCCCCTCTAGAGTAAAATTCAGGCACTTCCGGGCAATCCTAGATGATTCTGGTTTATAGAAAATGAAAATACCCGAACTTTTCCAAAATTGACTATTTTATGCTGAAAAATGCTACACTCGAATAATGATTGTGCTTGATTTCGAGTTCTGACAATTTACTGGACAATAATCTGCTGACTAATTTGACAGTCATCAAACAGTCAGAAGTTTCTGTACGAACAGTGGATCAGTTGTCGGTAATCGGTCAAAGCTCCCTCAGCCAACTCGTAACGTTCTCATGTATGCAATCTATACAGTCTGTGATGTGTCAGTGACAGCTAACTGAATAAACTAGAATCAAATTCAAGCGGATAACCAAATGAAAATGGTATTTACCATTTTGGATTGGTATTTACCGATCCGCTCAAGCGAGTGTGGTTATCAGTTTGGTTATAAGATCCGTGACGTCATGAATCAGCTGTTACATGTCATAGTTAGAAGACAAGTTAGAATTTTGCCGAGTATTGGATATTTTTATTGTACTTCAGCTTCATTTTTGGGAACCTTGATACAGGCTGACTTCAGTTTTAGCATATGAGAGCAGCACCTTATTAGTTATAATCATTACTGTTGTTGGGGACACTTTAAATCTAGTTCCTATGCTTAACAAACTATCCTGTATAGCCATATACCACAAGAATATTAAAATATGGCCATATAAACTCACTGTATGATGTCCAGCTGTATACAGTTTTGTTAATATCTTTTTTTGTCATGGCTTTTTCATCATTTCTGCTAAACCAATAAATATTTTCTTTGACACGCGGAAAAGTTTAGAGAGTTGAAAGTTATCATAGCTACAAAGCCATGGTTCCATCAGTAAAAAAATTTTTCTGAAAAAAAAAAACATTCCTCCCATTACTATTATGAAAGGTTTCTTTTTTTCAACTTTCCATAAACCGTTGTAGCCAAAAAAGCACCGATTATTGTGATAATAAAAATAATCAGAAATTATATACGCGCTTTTCTAAAATAAACAACTTGAAACAAAAAGCGGTTAAAACCAACGCGTTCAAGCGATTCGAGTAACTGACGTCCTCATCCCGTGTGTCATCTTGAACCATATTATAACCGCGGTACATAATACGGAAATTTTGGTTATTCGCTTGGATTTGAATTAGGTCATGACTTGTCGCCGACTATCAGTTAGCTGGTTGTCAGCAATCAGGCTGTACGAACAAACCAAATCATCAAGGTTAGTTACAACATTTTAGAGAGAATATAGATACCTACCACATTTACCTAGAAATGAAACTACAGAGAACTACAAGGTTGCCAATGTTTGTGGATTCCGCCTTATCCGCGGATAGTATAGTCATGAATGTAGGGCTATGATTTGTTCATCTAGGGGTTTAAAATCACATGAAACTTTCGTCTTTATGCCCTCCCTGCTCCGCGGCTTAGCTCAGACTCCTCCCCGTTGCCAGGCGGTAAAACCATGAGGCGCTTGCGCGGTAGGTGTCTGGATTATTGTAGATGGCTTCTCCAGTGGCATACGCAGAGCATGGGCGTCGTCAACCAAGGGTTACGCACTGACGCAAAAATAAAATAAAAATGGTAAAATAACCTTATCCTACATGAATATACTCCGTCCTAGTTTTCCGCCACCTAGGCTATACACTCTAGTACTAAAATACACATTGAAAATCTAATTTCGGTGTTAATTGACCTTCTTCTAATTTTTTGTTTTTCGAACTCGCACAATCATAATATGCCACTGAACAAGCTCCGATACACGGATGCCACTTGAACTTGCCTTTTAGCATGGGCGGATGTCACTTTATACCCTAAATAAATATATATATATATATATATATATATATATATATGACAAATTGAATTATTGTTGATGAGATGGACAATTGAATTAAACAATTATTATTTTATTATGAGAGAAAAAAACAATTATTCAAATCTTAATGGAATGGAAATTTTGGAGGGAAAGGGTGGAATAGACCAAAGAACCAGATTTCATTTTTGGTTGTGAAAAATCAAAATTTGGAGGGATATGTAAGTGTTCCAACTTTTCGCAGTTTAGCAAATATGAGTAAATGACGCTCAGTTGCTTAACATCTGTCTTCTTATTTATACAGTTGTCATTCATGAAAATGTGGGAGTGGAATTCGCGATGGCGGGAGACGTGGACCTCGTTTTCTCTCAGGGAGACAAAATGTGTGGTACAAGTATTCGTAAATCGTGTATTAAATTTTATGGTGAGAGTTATAGTGTCTCGATGCATTCTAAATGCTTTGAAACTGCAGCAAAATTGTTCGTTATTGAGCGTAAGTCTTGGAAGTGCAGGAGCTGCACAACCAAACTCAAACCACCTTTGGCCTTCCCTGTCTCGGATCTTGCAGTAGTCCAGCTGGAAGTTGACCATTTGAAGCGTGAAATCGACCTGTTAAGTAACCTGAATGGAGAATTGAAATCTAATAATGATTTATTGAAAGAAAAGATTCATCCATGAGCCTTTCATACGCTACAGTCACAGCATGAAAATGTCAAGGTGATACAAAAAGTGGCTATGTTTCTTCATACTCTATAGCAGCAAAAACTAACAATAACAAACCATCAGCTGGTGTGATGATTAAATCAGAAAATACATCTATTCCAACTGATGCTGTAATTAAGGATATTCAAAACAATGTGAATCCAAGTGATCTTAAACTCTGCCTGAGTGGAGTAAAGAAAATAAAAAATGGTGTTATAATACAGTGGGAAGACGGTGCTTCTATGGATAAGTTGGTGACGCATGTAACCCAGAGACTGGGTTCAAAGTACACGGTGCGTAAGACTAAACTATTGAATCCTATAGTGTATTTACACCCAAGATAGAATGGATGCGTGATTGCCAAAAGCAAGGACGGCGTACAGGGCCGCATTCAGGGCTACCTCCGAATGATGGACTACCACCAACGTGTTGTAAAACAAAGATGACAGTATTTAACGAAATTACCTAATATAGTAAAGTAGTTATAGTTAAGGGTGTCGTCATTAATGTTTATGATGATGAATTTAAAATCTCTCAATTATGTTGTCCAGCTCCCACATTGCTACCTCCACTTTGTCCTGAATATGCTGCACACATTTTTGCCATCTTTCTGGTGTGACCCCCTGTATAGCAATTCTGAACAGCTCTTGCATGTCAGAAAATTTAAATGTTGTATTGTGTGCAGCAACAAAATTCTCAACATCTGCCCATATGTGCTCAATGGGGTTGAGCTCACAGTGGTAAGGCGGCAAACGGAGTACTGTTTTGTGGTGTGCTTTGGCCATTTCATCTATGACATATTTATCATGTCTTGGTCTATGTTGTTCCACAATATCTAATAGTTGTAATTTCAGTAAGGAAGTGTCGAAAGTTATATTTATGGAACGGAGCCAGCTCTGAATGTCTGATTTCCTAGAAGCTGAAGTTTGGATTTTTTTCTATTTTGCGAGAATGATAGGGAGCATTATCCAAAACAACCACAGAATTGTCTTCGAGACGTGGTAAAATGCCTGAAAACCACTTCTCGAATGCTTCCCCATTCATCTCTTCATGGTAGTCAGTTGTTTTTTTACTCAAAAGACCATAAGCCGTCATCCACGAAGCCATCTACACCCCCAATGTGGCAAATAATGAGCCTTTTTCCTTTGCCTAGAAAGATAAAATCCCCTAAGTACACATGCACATCTTGTGTGTGCATCATTTACTCATATACTAAGTGACATATAAATCCGAACACCCAGTTTAAATGGTTTTATTTTAATAAAAGTTTGTGAATGTATTTATCTTACTGTAAATAACAAGTGAAAAAATTTTCAGCCTTATCAGTTGGACATTCCGGTTTTTATACTGCTTTTTTTTAATTCACTAACGCTCTAAAAATGAATATTTCAGCCGCAGTAAAGAATCAACGTTGGCGGATTTTGTTTCTTGACATCCTTTACGATCGGTTACGATGCCTAGAGTACGGAGACCTGTACGATTTCGTCAACTTAGTGAGCTTGATAGGGGCCGTATAGCGGGACTTCGGGAAGCTGGACTTTCTTTTCGGGCAATTGCAGTTAGAGTGCAAAGAAATGTAGACACTGTGGTTAGGTGTTGTCAGGCATGGCTTCGAGAAGGCCGCACGCAAAGAGCAAGGGGCACTGGATGCCGCCGTAGAACAACAGACCGTGAAGATCGCCGCCTAAGATTATTGGCCTTAAGGGACCGTTTCTCCACTACCAGGTCCATTGCAAATGAATGGTTTGCAGAACACGAAAGACCTATTGGCATGCGAAGTGTTTACCGACGAATGAGAAGTTTTGGCTTGTTTTCATACCGGCCACACTGGGTCCTCCCTTTAACTCGAGAACACCGACGTAATCGCCTTGAGTGGTGCAGACAACGGTCACTCTGGGATCAGGAATGGAACAGTATTGTCTTTAGTGACGAGTCTCGATTTTGTTTAGGCATGCACGATGGTCGTGCCAGGGTTAGAAGGCGACGTGGTGAAAGGAGGAATCCACAGTTTTTTGTTGAAAGACATGTGCATCACACTGTTGGAGTTATGGTTTGGGGTGCTATAGCTTATGGTTCCAGGTCACCTTTAATCTTCATCAGAGGTAACATGAACGCGCTGCGTTATATCCACGAAGTTCTAGAACCCCATCTTTTACCCTATCTTGACACCCTGGCAGATCCAACTTTCCAACAAGATAATGTCCGACCACATGTTGCAAGAGTCACAATAGACTTCTTTCAACATAATGATGTCACATTGTTACCATGGCCACCAAGATCTCTCGACTTATCCCCAATTGAGCACGTGTGGGATATGATGGGTAGAAGATTGCTCAATTTGCAACGTCCTCCTCAGACTCTAGAAGCACTTCGAGAGGAGTTGGTGGTTGCCTGGAATGAGATACCACAGGAGGACATTGACCACCTGATCAGAAGCATGCCTAGGCGCGTTGGAGAATGCGTAGCACATCAGGGTGCATCCACACATTATTAAAGGCCAAAGGGCTTTAAAGCAGTGCAATCATTTAGAAATTTTTATCATTTACTTATTATGCTTCATTAAGTGCTTATACAAAATTTTATTAAAATAAAACCATTTAAACTGGGTGTTCAGATTTATATGTCACTTAGTATATTTGCTAAGCTGCGAAAAGTTGGAGCACTTAAACACCTCTCCAAATTTTGACTTTTCACAACCATGAATGAAACCTGGTTCTTTGGCATATTCCACCCTTTCCCTCCAAAATTTCCATTCCATTCAAATTTGAATAATTGTTTTTTTTTCTCATAATAAAATAATAATGTTTAATTCAATTGTCCATCTCATCAACAATATAGTTTCTTCAACTGCCGCTGGTCTGTTGACAAGTTCTTATTTAACATATCTTGATAAATCACACCATCTGAAGTGATTTGGCAACATGGCATACACTTTACAAAAATTTTCGATCCATCCATCGACACTGACACTACCAACCTTCTGTCACCTTAAAATGTTTCATCCTACTTATGATCCTGTGCCACACCATTTTGTGCAGCATCAGGTGGTTCACGATGTAACTTTAACTTTCGTTATAAACATTTTTAATCCGTCTTGTTTTGTTCCTGACATACAGCTGTGTGTGTATAGCTTTCACCATGCTGCTGAACGTTTCCCTCAACTTTAACGTTAATAACATTTAGCAACAATCTCACATACTACTGTAAGTTAACACAATAGTTGCTATTTCTTCTCAATGTTATTGCAGCTCCTGATGAAGATGGCAAAGTCCATTGGAAGCTAGAGAACAATAAAGTATACAGAGTCCTCATTGCTTGAATTTTGTCGAAGTACCCAACTAAAGGCGGAAGCTTTATTTTTCACCTAACTCGTCTGGAAGACAATGACCATGTTTCAATATATATGTTATATGGCCATAGTAACTACGCAGTTATTATACAATGTTGCACCAGACGCTGTGTCAGCATATGAAAGCAACTTCTCGCTAATCCGTTGCTAGAATAGTGCCTTTGCTGTTTTCTGCTAATTCTTAGTCAGCTTTCTGAATGTATAAATAGGCCTCGCGGCCATATCCTGTCGTTCAATACCCGGTTAGACTCCGTAAATGTCACATTTGTAAACCTTTGTATGGACTGAAGCTTCAGTCCTCAAATAAAGTTTTTTAAAAAGTTATTTCTAAATCTAATGATTTAAGAAATTGGTGTCAGAGAAGTGGGATAGCTTCAACGCATTAGAACACGTGCATACTAACTAGTGTGGTGGATGCCTATCCTTTAAGCTGAAAAGGACCAACGAGCCTTAAGAAGAAAGAAACCTACAAGTAGGAAAACTACAAGTAAGAAACTACAAAGCAACAAGAAGAAGGAAAACAACAGGGGACACAGCGAGCAGCAGCCACCCAACTGCAGACAGACTACTGGAAACATCGCAAGAGATCCACTAGCCGCCTGGAGAACACGACTGCCTCCCGATGTACCCTTGGTAACGTACAATTTTAATCTAACTATTTTTTGCAATTTATCTCTGTGTGTGTGATTGTTACATCTTTTTATTTGCATTTTTGCGCATTTACTCTATATATTGTCGATTTTCACGTATTTTTCTATTTTACATTTATATCTTTTTGCATTTTCCCTTGACATTATTGAATCTTTTTGAAACAACTTTCCATTAAAATGTCTACTAACGGTTCAGATAATTACCAACCAGCTGAAATTCCTGATAACGTTCATGCGAACATTGAACCTTATAGATTATCTGAAATATTTTCGATTGTACCCGAGTACGATGGAAACCCGATATTGCTATCGACCTTCATCAACGCGTGCCGAACGGCATATCAAATGGCCGTCGAGGAGCAGCGGCTTCTCGTCGTTTTACATATTAAAAACAAACTTCGCGGACGTGCCGCCGAACTTGTGAACAGCCGAAACCCTACCACGTGGGAAGACATACGGTCCCTGTTAGAAACGCACTTTGGAGATCTTAGAGATCTCACATCTTTAATCGCGGATCTTCAACATATGCGCCAACTCCCCAACGAATCACCCCTAACCTTTGCATCTAGACTGCAGACGCATGCAGCCAAAATGCATTCCGCCGTGAATAGGCAAAATCTAAATCGCGAGCAAAAATCTGCTCAAAGTTCCCTCATCGAAACGATGACTTTAAATTGTCTATTAACAGGATTAGACTCAAAAATAGGACCTGTTGTGCGATCAGGACATCCCACGGATATCTTGACCGCAGTTTCGTATATCAAACGAGAGTTACAACTTTCATATTTAGAACGACAAAAATTCGCCAGGGCCCCAAACCCGAATCAAAATTCAGTTAATCGAAGACCAAACCCTAAAATTTGTAATTTTTGTAACCGTCCCGGTCACTTAGCAAATGAATGCCAACGGAGACAACAGCCTACAAGCTTTGCCCCAAGACAGTTTAACCAGCCCCAACCTCAAAATTACCCTAGGCCGAATCAACCTATGCAAGTTAGACCATCTACATCTAACTTCCATCAAAATTCTAATCAATATCCTCCCAGACCATCTGTAATACGACCAAATGTGCCTAACTCGAGTGCGCCAAGACCCTCTGTAATTCAGAGCAATCCAAATTTTCAAAACCCTAATTTTCAAAGAAGTTTTAGACAAAATCCTCCCAATCGAATTAATCATGTCGCCCCTGATTCTTACGATTATTCCGACTACGGTGAACCAGACTTATACAACACGGACTATGCTAATGAATATGACGATACCCAATACACGCCTACACACCTTCTCCATACGATGATTTTAGAGAACCCAGTAACGATTTTTGTTACGAATATAATCAAACCGCCGATACATTTGTTGACAACGCTTATTCGGACATACAACAATTCCAGGATTTTCGGACCAAGTGTTTGAAAGAGAAACCCCCTGCGGAACCCAACGACAGTACCGCGATAGTATGTGCGAACTTAGCGAATCTCAGTGTCGAGGACCCGAACGCGAAACCTTGTGCGAGCGTCAGCAACACATGCGATCAGATGTTCATATAAACCCTCCGTTTATAGTCCCGTCGACAATTCACCCAGTTAGCCCAGACAACTTATATTACATTAAAGATGCTACTGGAAAATTCCAAATTCTCATTGACAGTGGTGCAGGTTGCTCCATTTTCAAACGTAACACTTGTCAAAATTATACTAATCGTGTCGCAGAAAATATCTCTATCCGAGGTATTACTGACGAAAAAATTAGTATTACTGAAGCAGTCTTAGTCCCATTTGCTCCCAATGATTATCACAAAATTTATGTCCATGATCTAGATATTTCATTCGATGGCCTTCTTGGGTCAGATTTTCTTGAACATTATGATTGTATTATTGATTTGAAAAATCGTCAATTGATTACAAATTTCAAAACAGTCCCTCTTTTCAAAGTAGGTGACGAAAATAATTCCAAAGCTTCTCAATTTAAAGAAAAGTCCCAAGCTTCGCAATTTAAAGAAAATTCTCAAGTTCAAAATGTGATTTCCATTCCTCCCAGAGTTGAACAAGTTGTCAAGCTCAAATCCGAGCTTAGAAATACTGAAGCCATTCTTCTGGCGTGTGAGGTAGAAAAAGTCCGTCTACCCAGTTCCATAGTTAAAATTGATTCTAAAGGCGAATTCCTTACTACAGTATTAAACTGTAATGCCATTCCAAAAAATGTAATTTTACGCCAATTAACTTTCGAGCCCTTTAACGAAACTTCTATCAATAATTTCAACACTTCTTTACAAAATCAAAGTCAGTATAACCGTAGAGATGTTATTAGAGATCAATTACGTCTCGATCATCTCAACGAAGAGGAAAAAGATTTAATTACGAATCTTTGTTTAGATTTTTCGGACATATTCTACTTAGATGGTGATAGCCTGTCATTTACAAACGAAATTAAGCATTCCATTGATACCACTACCAGTAAACCAATTTTTACCAAATCCTACCGATACCCTTATGTCCACAAGCAAGAAGTCAAAGATCAAATTTCGAAATTACTAAAACAAGGTATTATCGAACCTAGCACATCGCCATGGAATTCTGCGGTGTGGGTTGTACCAAAGAAAATGGACGCCTCTGGTAAACAGAAATGGCGTATGGTGATTGACTATCGTAAGCTTAACGAAATCACCATCGATGATAAATATCCCCTGCCAAACATTTCCGATCTACTTGATCAATTAGGGAAATGCCAGTACTTTAGTACACTGGACTTGGCATCTGGATTTCATCAAATCGAGATAAATCCAGTTGATGTTCCTAAAACTGCATTTTCAGTTGAAAACGGACATTACCAATTCTTGAGGATGCCTTTTGGTCTCAAGAACGCTCCTGCCACGTTTCAACGTGTCATGGACAACATCTTGATGGGTATACAAAACGAAAGATGTCTTGTATACATGGATGACATAATTGTCTATTCCCCCTCCATCCAAGAACACATCAGTAGGCTTAGCGAAATTTTTACGCGTCTTCGGAAGTCGAATTTCAAAATCCAGCCTGATAAGTGCGAATTCCTCAGAAAGGAAGTAGCCTATCTTGGTCATGTAATAACCCCTGATGGCGTTGAGCCCAATCCAGATAAAGTGGATTGCATAAAAAATTTCCCTCAACCCAAGAATCCTAAAGAAATAAAATCTTTCTTAGGTCTTGCAGGTTACTACCGACGCTTTATACCAAACTTTGCCAACTCCTAGACAAAAGTCATAAACATATCGTCACGTTTTTCAGACAAAACACTCTATCTGATCTTCACGAAAAAATTATCGAAGACATATTCGAGGAAAATCTTGATTTTTCTGCAGATAAAATTAACATCGCGTCTAGCAAAACAATTAAAGATAGAAAATACTATATTATTCCTGTGCCATACGATCCCGTAACTTGCATACAGCATCTTTTCTCTGTAATTTTAACCAACAAAGGTGTATTCGACCTATCCCAACAAATCTACGTTGAAAATAATTTGGACTTACCCATTTTAGAAATTTTCTCTTTTATTTTTTCGGATGATAATATCAAACTTGTCGTTTGCCAAAACGTCACCAAAACTCATAGTCCCGATGAAATCCCCGTCATTTTAGATCAATACCATTGTGGTAAGAAAAACATTCATCGAGGAATTAATGAAACAATTAGGCGAATGCGTGAACGATATAATTGGCCCGGCTTAACTAAAGACGTTGAGCATTTCATCAAAAAGTGTGAAATTTGTCAAAAGACCAAAATTTGTCGTAAAAACCTCAGTGCCCCTTTTGTAGTAACTGAAACCCCTAAAGCCCCGTTCGAAAGAATCAACATTGACATTTTGGAAGTCCCACCTAAATGCTACGCTCTCACAATCCGAGACGAGCTAACAAAATTTTCTCAAGCCTATCCAATTAGCGACAAATCTGCAAAATCTGTAGTAAATACTCTACTTTTATATTTCCAACATTATGGTACACCTCTCCGAATACACTGTGATTACGGAAAAGAATTTGACAACGCCCTCATGAAAGACCTTTGTAGTCTTTATGACATTAAATTAACTTTTTCTAGTGTCAGTCATCCCCAGTCCAATGGCTCGATTGAGCGATTTCACGCCACTTTATTGGAAATGATCAGATCCCATGTATCCGAAAATCCCGACGAACATCCCTTCAATATTCTTCCCTATGCTGTTCAGTGCTACAATAGCACTAGAAATAAAACTACTGGCTTTACACCATACGAGCTCGTGTTTGGCCACACCTCTGGTCGTCCGCCCGAACACGTATATTTAGAGAAAGAATTGATGTCCAAGTATGTTCGAGACATTCGGAATAAACTCGAATATTACTACAAAATTGCCCGCGTGAGAACTGACGAACGGAAGAAAAAAGCAAAAATTCGCTTTGATAGTAGAGTGTCACCTAATTTACAATCGTATAAAGTTGGTGATAAAGTCTTTGTGAAACAGTCTCAAATTTCAAACAAGCTTCAGAAAAAATTTGATGGTCCATTCGAAATTACTCAAGTTTTTGAAAATTCTGCGCTGCTTAAGAACCCGGAAACAAATAGAATAAGTAAAGTTAATTTTGACAGACTGAAACCATTTTTTGAGACTTAGTTTCTCTTTCAGGTGCAGTCTGCTGTTTCTTGCGGCTGTCACAGCCCAGATAGACATCAAACCGCTTAACAACACCTTAGGTATCTATTTTCATGAAGACGCCCCTCTTAAGATGTCCAACGAAATTTGGACACTCCTTGTATATAAAGACTTAGAACTCATTAAGAAAGCACTTGACGATAACAACAATATTCTGGAACACTTATCATATCTCGTAGACAAACCCACCAATCGTATGAAAATATTTAGTGGCGAAATTAAAACTCATACGAGTCTCCTTTATCAAATTTCTCGTTCCTTGGAATCTAAATATTACGCGATCTTCGATGACACTGTAAGCGCATCGCGGATGAAACGCGGTCTGATTAACGCTATAGGTACCATATGGAAAGCAATAACCGGAAACCTCGATTCATCGGACGGTGAATACTATAACGATTGTATTAACAAAATTTCTAAAGATGAACATGAGCTCGAAAACCTCATGAAGAACCAAATTTCGGTTACCATGTCGGTTATCAAGAATTTTAATAACACTATTCAAAAACTTATGATTGATGAAACTACGTTTAATGAAGATATTAAGGTCATTGAAAACAAAATTTATGAAATTTCAGACGATCTTGCATTTTATGAAGCTAAATTCTAATTTTTAGAAGTTTGCGAACAATTAATGGGAAGCTACATGTTTCTGGAAGAGACAATCAATGATATTCTAAAGTCAATTACTTTTGCACGTTTAAAAATAATACATCCTTCTATTATCACTCCTCAAGAAATTTCTCACACTTTGTCGAGAAATAATTTACCCCTTCCGGTTAATTTAGCAACAGTGTCAGAGTACCTTAATCTTATGGAACTCGAAGCATATCAAACTAAAACAAGAGTAGTATTCGTTCTACGCATCCCGTTATTAGAGCCCGAAATGTATACTTTATACAGAGTGATTCCTCTACCCATTCTCGATAAACGTACTGGTTTGTTTCATGTAGTCTCCACTATACAGAGGTACATTGCTAAAGATAGCGATTCTCTTTTGTACGTTTCCTTTCAAAACTTAGGTAGTTGTAAAGTTCTTCAGTCTCAGGTGAAAATCTGTTTCAACCTCTTGCCGTATCCAATAGACAGTAATGCAGTCTGCGAAGCACAGTTGTTGCGAAATCCGGTAGATCTGCCGACAGCCTGCCAAATAGCAATTGTGGCATTGCAAGATTACCAAATCCAAGAACTTGCAACCAATTTTTGGCTAATCACCATATCTAGCCCTCTGCCAATTACGATGAAGTGTGGACAACGAGAGACTACCACCAAAGTGATAAAAGTTAATTCACTTTTAAAAATGCAACCCGAATGCAGTGGCTTTGTAGGCACCACGAGATTACATTCTAGATATTCTGTTAGCACCTACAAGAATATCACATACAAAAGTCACCCTGTAGAAGTACCCTACAAATGCTGTGAACATCTCCCAGAGAAACAAAATTTACCAAAATTTAAACCGATCAAGCTAAGCAAGATCGATACTGAAGAACTCGAAATTGCCAATCACAAATTAAACCAATATTCTGAACAACTGGACAAAATTATGAACGAGCCGTTTGTTTCAAGACATCTCTGGTTCACGTATTTCATCATCACCCTGTTAGTTATCATCGTAGCTTTGTACCTGTTCTGCAAGTGCAGAAAACGTAGACCACTCAGCATCTGCGCATCAAATTATCCAGCCGATGGTCCATCTCCAGGAGCACCAAAAGTCCGGTACATTCCCAGACCTTTTCCTCGACGTAGACCAACCATCCAGCCACATGAAGAAGACATCGAACTGCAGTGAGTGTTCCGTGAAGTGTTTTCACTGTTCAAAAAATCATTTTCAATTTTCGTTTTATCTTCTATGTGATTTTGCCCGTACGACTGTACGATTGTATCTTATTATTTGTTTGTTCCAGCTTTGCTTTTAGATGTTATTTTGCATCGCCAATGTACCGCATTTATGCTAACAATTTTATTTTTCAGAATGTGTATTTTCTGATTTTACTTTTGCAATTTGTATTTTGCAATTTTACTATTTTTATATTTTTATATTTTTACAATGTTTACAATTTTACACTTTACAATTTTACAATTTTTACATTTTTACAAATTTATACTTTTGACATTTTTTTTTTGATATTTTTACATTTTTCAATTTTGGTCAAAAGTTGTCGCATAGCAACAACTTTTTGTAATAGGGGGGGAGTTGTTATATGGCCATAGTAACTACGCAGTTATTATACAATGTTGCACCAGACGCTGTGTCAGCATATGATAACAACTTCTCGCTAATCCGTTGCTAGAATAGTGCCTTTGCTGTTTTCTGCTAATTCTTAGTCAGCTTTCTGAATGTATAAATAGGCCTCGCGGCCATATCCTGTCGTTCAATACCCGGTTAGACTCCGTAAATGTCACATTTGTAAACCTTTGTATGGACTGAAGCTTCAGTCCTCAAATAAAGTTTTTTAAAAAGTTATTTCTAAATCTAATGATTTAAGATATATATATATATATATATATATATATATATAGATAGAGAGAGAGAGAGAAAATGACCATGCGGAGAAAGGTATATAACAAAGAATAGGAAAATAATAGGCAACATCCGCAAAAAGAAGGAAAGTGGATTCGAGCAGAAAATAGGATATGTAACCCAAGCGATACGTATTGCTGCTGGTTGGCTTCATCAGGCACGAAATGACTGCACATATGCAACTACAAAAGTAGATACACATGCCCATACATTCGGATACGGGTGTAATCTGAGGAACCGAAGATGTAGAGGGAAAAAACCACACGCGAAGTCCACAACAAGAGCCAACCTACACATTGTAGTATAAAATGGCCAGAAGACCTCGAATTTTCAAGGAGACATCTAACCACAACCAGGCGGCCGTTATAGCCACTTGCTGTGGTACTTCAAGCCCAAAGGATCTACAAAGAGAAAATGATCATACGGAGAAAGGTATATAACAAAAAATAGGAAAATATTGGGGCAAAATCCGCAATAAGAAGGAATGTGGATTCGAGCAGAAAATAGGATAGGTTGTGGACTTCGCGTGTGTTTTTTCCCCTCGACATCTTCGTTTCCTCAGGTTACACCCATATCCGGATGTATGGGCATGTGTATCTGCTTTTGTAGTTGCATATGTGCATTCATTTCGGGCCTGATGAAGCCAACCAGCAGAAATACGTATCGCTCGGGTTATCTATCATATTTTCTGCTCGAATCCACATTCCTTCTTTTTGCGGATTTTGCCCATTATTTTCCTGTTTTTTATATATATATATATATACTTGGGTGACTTTGAAGTTGAGTCATTAATTTTCAGATAATGATTGTAGGAGGAAGATAAACCAAAATATGTGTGTAAAAATAAAAAAACATTAAAAAAAAAATGTTACCTTGTTTTATAAAGTATCCTCCCGACAAGTATTTCAGTGCGGACATGTATTTGATCGTGCGCTTTTGGAGCACCGGCAGGCCCTCCCCTGTAAGGTCTTAAGTCTCCTGATTCACGAGCCCTTTGTACTACATTAACAAAGGCACGAGGGGTTGGTTGCACTCGATTGGGAAACCGATTCGCACAAATCCGTGATGCCGCGGCAGGATTTTGTAAATAAGAATCATGTCCACAAGTTCAGCATTTTCGTAAACATGTGCTATTTTTTATTTCGTTTGAGCCACGCAACAAACACCACTATTCACTCACGCGTTACCGACTGACGAAAAACATCGTGATAAACGTTTCAAATTCTTTCGCTTTTTTGTTTCCGATGCGATGAACCGATAACGCGGATTATATCCGTTGTTGCCAAACACGAGCACATAATATTATTATTGAGACAGGGCGGTACTCAAACTTCTAAAGGGCTATAACTTTGTTACTTTAATTTTACCAGAAAAATGTTGAAGGAAAAAAACATTTCTTTTGATCAGGTCTACTCACTGTTAAAATAAATGACTCAACTTCGAAGTCACCCTGTATATATATCTAGGTGTCCAATAAGTACCACGACAGACTTAAGGAGAAGGTAGGCTCTGGACTGACCCCCCAAATAACTAATACTTACCTATATCAAAAGTGACACCCTTTTTCAAATATTGAATTTTTTCTTAAAATTTAAGAAAACGAACCTTTTCATCGGTGGTCTTTAGCTGCATGTACAAATAACGTTATACTTTGTTCGTTGTTTCTATAAAATACTTCTAGATAGTTGCTTTATCATATACAAATGAAATGTAGTTAAAGAATATTAAGGAACCATGCTATAATTCTTTTGTATTGTTACTGAGTCCGAATTTCAGTAAGTTTCATAAAATCACATCAGGAGCAGGTAATAATCATGTAGCTTTGTACTATTTAGCATGTTACTGATCGGTAACCAGTGCAGCTTCAAATTAAATTCAATAATTACATTGTAGTGTGTGTCAGCAGATATCACTTTTTTCTATTCCAAATAGTACGTGTGGTGCCTTTCTGAGACCTGTATTCAATGAGCAGCCTTTTTATATAATGCAGTTATAGCCCAGTACATTTTTGTTTTACCTCAGATGGTCAAAGTTGAGGAAAAAATATCAGGTTATAAATCCCAAAATAGTCCTTATTTGAACATGGTTCCTTAACATCTTTTAACTACATTGCATTTGTATATGATAAAGCAACTATCTAGAAGTATTTTATAGAAATAATGAACAAAGTATAACCTTATTTGTACATGCAGCTAAAGACCACAGATGAAAAGGTTCGTTTTTTTAAAATTTAAGAAAAAATTCAATATCTCAAAAACGGTGACACTTTTATATAGGTAAGTATTAGTTATTTGGGAGGTCAGTCCAGAGCCTACCTTCTCCTTAAGTCTGTCGTGGTACTTATTGGACACCTAGATATATTATATACAGGGTGACTTCGAAGTTGAGTCATTTACTTTAACAGTGAGTAGATCTGATCAAAAGAAATGTTTTTTCCTTTAACATTTTTGTGGTAAAATTAAAGTAACAAAGTTATAGCCCTTTAGAAGTTTGAGTACCGCCCTGTCTCAATAATAATATGTGCTCGTGTTTGGCAACAACGGATATAATCGGAAACAAAAAAGCGAAAGAATTTGAAACGCTTATCACGATGTTTTATTCATTTATTTTATTCAGTTGTATTCATTCGATGTGTCAGTCGGTAACGCATGAGTGGTGTTTCTGCGTGGCTCAAACGAAATAAAAAATGGCACATGTTTACGAAAATGCTGAACTTGTGGACATGATTCTTATTTTACAAAATGCTGCTACGGCAACACGGATTTATGCGGATCGGTTTCCCAATCGAGTGCAACCAACCCCTAGTGCCTTTGTTAATGTAGTACAAAGGGCTCGTGAATCAGGTGACTTAAGTCCTCACACGGGAGGGTATGTGCTCCAAGACCGCACTGAAATACTTGTCAGGAGGATATTTTATAAAACAAGGTAACATTTTTTTAATTTTTTTTTTTAATTTAGACACATATTTTGGTTTATCTTCCTTCTACAATCATTATCTGAAAATTAATGACTCAACTTCAAAGTATATATATATACCTTTAAGGAATATTACAGCAATATTTCGTGAGGATTTTGAAACATTATAATTATACTAAGTGACATATAAATCCGAACACCCAGTTCAAATGGTTTTATTTTAATAAAAGTTGGTGAATGTATTTATCTTACTGTAAATAACAAGTGAAAAAATTTTCAGCCTTATCAGTTGGACATTCCGGTTTTTATACTGCTTTTTTTAATTCACTAACGCTCTAAAAATGAATATTTCAGCCGCAGTAAAGAATCAACGTTGGCGGATTTTGGTTCTTGACATCCTTTACGATCGGTTACGATGCCTAGAGTACGGAGACCTGTACGATTTCGTCAACTTAGTGAGTTTGATAGGGCCCGTATAGTGGGACTTCGGGAAGCTGGACTTTCTTTTCGGACAATTGCAGTTAGAGTGCAAAGAAGTGTAGACACTGTGGTTAGGTGTTGTCAGGCATGGCTTCGAGAAAGCCGTACGCAAAGAGCAAGGGGCACTGGACGCCGCCGTAGAACAACAGACCGTGAAGATCGCCGTGAAGATTATTGGCCTTAAGGGACCGTTTCTCCACTACCAGGTCCATTGCAAATGAATGGTTTGCTGAACACGGAAGACCTATTGGCATGCGAAGTGTTTACCGATGAATGAGAGTTTTTGGCTTGTTTTCATACCGGCCACACTGGGTCCTCCCTTTAACTCGAGAACACCGACGTAATCGCCTTGAGTGGTGCAGACAACGGTCACTCTGGGATCAGGAATGGAACAGTATTGTCTTTAGTGACGAGTCTCGATTTTGTTTAGGCATGCATGATGGTCGTGCCAGGGTTAGAAGGCGACGTGGTGGAAGGAGGAATCCACAGTTTTTTGCTGAAAGACATGTTCATCACACTGTTGGAGTTATGGTTTGGGGTGCTATAGCTTATGGTTCCAGGTCACCTTTAATCTTCATCAGAGGTAAAATGAACGCGCAGTGTTATATCCACGAAGTTCTAGAACCCCATCTTTTACCCTATCTTGACACCCTGGCAGATCCAACTTTCCAACAAGATAATGCCCGACCACATGTTGCAAGAGTCACAATAGACTTCTTTCAACATAATGATGTCACATTGTTACCATGGCCACCAAGATCTCCCGACTTATCCCCAATTGAGCACGTGTGGGATATGATGGGTAGGAGATTGCTCAATTTGCAACGTCCTCCTCAGACTCTAGAAGCACTTCGAGAGGAGTTGGTGGTTGCCTGGAATGAGATACCACAGGAGGACATTGACCACCTGATCAGAAGCATGCCTAGGCGCGTTGGAGAATGCGTAGCACATCAGGGTGCATCCACACATTATTAAAGGTCAAAGGGCTTAAAAGCAGTGCAATCATTTTGAAATTTTTATCATTTACTTATTATGCTTCATTAAGTACTTATACAAAATTTTATTAAAATAAAACCATTTAAACTGGGATTTATATGTCACTTAGTATATTACAATGAAAGATTTCTGAAATATTTCTGAAAAATATTGTGTTGTATGGGTATTTACCCAGAACCTTTCTCTCCAATGTTCTCGAAATGCGTCCCTGTGCTGTTTCTATTTCCAGGAAGTCTGTGAACTTTTGAAGAGCCTGTTGTGCTTCATTGCTCCCTCTAGTAAGACTCTGTGTGAACATCACCTTGGCCAAATGGTAAACGACTTCTTCCAGTGAGTATTCTGTGTAAAGCAGGTCAGCCAGCGTCAAACGCTCGAGTAGTTCATTGTATTCATCTTCGGCTAGTTTTTCGTTTTCTGTAAAGAATATTGCAAGACCTGTACATTATATCAAAGTAAAACTAATCGTACTGAGTGAGATTTTATTGCGTAATCTGTCGATTATATAATAATCTAGGAAATAGGTAATTTTTTTCTTACAATTTTGGCGCCGATAAATGTTTTTGGTGGTATAGTTAGAATTGCTTCGTAATGATGAGTTTTTTTTTATTTAGCAAACCGCTTCGACCTAAAGGTCATTAGCGGGGAGTAGGTTAAATTTTGTACATAAATCTAGATGCTTTAAGAAAATTGGAAATGTTGATAATGTTACACTGTGGTCCTATAATGTCAGCCAGTGTTCCGTTTAGTTTATACATAAACCTATATACTTCTAGCACTGGGCACTCAATTAGTAGGTGTTTCACTGTTAACTGCACGTCACAGATTTCACATAGGGGCACAGGTTCTTGAGTCAGCAGGTATCCGTGGGTAGCTCGTGTGTGTCTTAGCCTTAGTCGTGTGATGATGGTCTGGATTTTGCGGTTGTTGGTGACGGTTTGCCATGGCATCAACTTAGACTTGAGTTCAAGTAATTTGGATGGTTTACTCTGCCACAGATTGTTCCAGTTCTGGATGATTTTCGATTTTAAATGAGCCCTTACATCATACTCTGGTACTTTGACAATATATCTAGTAGCGTTGTTGGCAGCGTCTTTTACTTTGCGATCTGCTAGCTCATTTCCTGGAATTCCAACGTGTGATGGAACCCATAGGAAAACAATTCTTTTGTGCATTGCAATATCTTTCATTTCATCCCGAATTCTTTGAGCTATGGCGTTCTTGCTGTACTAGTGCTAATTAACTTAAGCGAATTCAATGAGTCGGATATAATTAACCAATTATTTGCGGAGTTACCTTTAATATACTTGATGGCTTCAAATATTGCATAGAGTTCACCCGTAAGGACTGTGGCTGTCTCTGGCAGCTTACATTCTATAATGGATGTTGGTGTTATGACTGCAGCGCCAACGTGCATTTGTAATTTTGAGGCATCTGTATATATTTCACTGTAGTTACCATATTGATTGCGGATTTCTGAGAATTTCTGGTATATAATTTCTTTTGGTGTTTCCTCTTTGCATAGTTTTGTCAGTGTGCTGTTGATAACAAGTATCTGAATGCTCCGAGGTGGGTTAGTTGTCTGAGTGGTGGTGATAGTAGGAGGAAGTATAGGCATACGTAGTTGATTTAGATACTGTGTTATTCTGTAGTTGAAACTTGAGGCAATTTGACGGTTGACAGATGTGTGACTAAATCCTGGTATAGATGGGTTAGATGCAAGTTTAGTTGCGTATTGTAGACTCAGGACTTGTCTTCTAACATATAGGGGAGCTTCTCCAGACTCACAGTATAAACTGTCAATGGGTGTGGTTCTGAAGGCTCCTAATATCAGGCGTAGTGCAGAATTATGTAGAACGTCTAGAGGTTTCAATACTGTTGATTTTGCCGAGCTATATGCTATGCAGCCATAATCTATTTTCGATCTCACTAGTGCACGATATATACTTAAAAGGGTTTTTCCATCTGCACCCCAGTGTCTATTGGCTAGGTATCGTAACATGTTGAGTCCTTTCTGACAAGATTGAATTAGATAAGTAATATGACTCCTCCAGGTCAGACGTTGATCAAATATAATCCCAAGGAACTTTATTTCTTGATGTGTTTTCAGGTCAACATTTGATAAGCGTAGAGTTGGTTGTGTATGAGTTGACTTTTTAGAGAATATAATGCATTGTGTTTTGTCAGGAGAGAATGTCAGGCCATTTTTATTAGACCAGTGCTCCATTTGATTTAACGTTGATTGGAGCAACGATGTAGTAGTTGCCATATTTTTGCCTTTAACATATACAATCATGTCATCAGCATAAAGGCGAGTTTGGAGAGGCTTTTTTATATTCGCTACGATGTCATTAATGGCTACCAGGAAAAGTATTGGGCTGATAATAGATCCTTGGGGTAGGCCATTGATCTGCGTTTCAGCATCTGATAGTACACCATTGGCACGAACTTGGTAATTTCTGTTGGCAAGAAAATTTTGTATGAATGCTAGAATGTGTCCATCGTAGCCCCAGTTTTTTAGTTTGATGAGTACGTCAAACTTCCATACGGTATCAAATGCCTTATTGACATCAAAGTAAATGGCTGCACAATGCTGCCGTTCAGAGAATGCCTCTTGTATGTAATTCTAGGTCTACGATATTATCCAATGTTGATCTGTTTGATCTAAATCCGCCCTGTTCGTGCGCCAGCTGCTTTTTGCTTTCCAAGTTCCACAATAATCTCCGGTTAACAATTTTTTCTAATAGCTTGCACATTGAACACGTTAATGAAATTGGTCTATAGGACTCTGGAACCTGGGGTGGTGCGTTTGGTTTTAGAATCGGTATAACTGTGGCTTTACTCCATTCGTTTGGAAAAACTTGCTTAGTCCATATTATATTGTAAATTTTTAAAAGTATGCTCATCGCTGAATGTGAGAGGTGCTTTAGGAAAATTGTTGGTATATCATCAGGTCCAGGTGATGTGTTCTTCAATGTAAGAAGTGCCTCGGTTAGTTCCTGTTCTGTAATGGGGTTATTTATTGAATGAAGGGTTTCGCTAATGGGAATTGTTCTATCTGTGTTTTTCTTGTAATTAAGGAATGCTGCGCTATAATTTTGGTCACTGGAATTTTTGAAATATGTTTTGGATAAGGTGTTAGCTATGTCTCTGCTTTGAGTGAAAGTGTGGGGTCCTTTCTTTATCGACCTAATGACTGAATGTGATTTTTTTCCAGACATGCTTTTGATTTTCTTCCAGACTGGATACATTGGTGGCATTATTGATGGTTGAAACAAATTTTTGCCATGATAGTTTTTTTAAAACAAGTCTTGCCTTTGCACGTTTGTGTTTGAAGTCAGTTAGGTTTTCAACTGTTTTATATCTTCTACATTTTATTCAGAGCTTGCTTGCTTTCTCCTACTGCATGTTCGCATGTTTCGTTCCACCAAGGGACTGGATTCCTTCTCCGTATCACCCTAGTTTTGCCTATGTTTTGGTAAGCAGCTTCTTTGATTAAATTCATAAAGCTTTGAACGGTAGCATCGACGTCATCTGTGATCTCACAAGTGTTTAGGTTATTATGGATATAAGCAGAAAAAGAGGGCCAGTTGGCTTTTTTTAAATTCCATTTTTCTCTTGGTTGTATATCTGTAATTTCTTTGTTTATATCTTGTATTATTATTGGGAAATGGTCACTCTCATACAAATCGTCCGCGACATTCCATTGTAAATGTGTAATCAGATTAGAGGAGCACATGCTAAGATCAATTGCAGAGAAGCGTCCAGAGGCTGAATCGAATCTTGTACTGCTACCATCATTCAGTAGAATCATGTTAGCATGGTCAATTATATTTTTTATAATATTTCCCCGCGTGTCATTTTTGTATGAATTCCATGTGTGACTGTGGTGATGGTATTTGTTGCAGTAATGACTCAAGCTCATTTTCTTCTAAATAATAATTGGGAGGTATATATATGTTACATATGTTGATCTTTGTATCTGATTCGACGGTAATGGCTACAGCTTCTAGATTTGTGGTAAGGGTTATAGGTTTGGCTAATATATCTGATTTTATGTATATTGCGACTCCACCGCTAGCTGTAGTTCTTTCACGGTGTTTGAAAAATCCAGTGTACTGTTTTGGTGTATGCGATTTGGTTTCGTGGAAGTGTGTCTCTTGTAGGCATATAATGTCTGGGTTGAAATCGGAAATTAATTTTCGTAACATATTTAAATGGATATAATATCCATTTAAGTTCCATTGTAGTATTGACTTGAATTTAAAAAGTAGAGTCAATAGATGAAGTATCACTGAGTTGGTCGCTGAGATTTTTTTCAAGATGCCGTTCCATTTTTTTTCGTAATCTCGTACAGCGGTTTTTCAAGGCTTTGTCTGTGATGTGTGGATATATTAGCAGAAGCATCTCGATTAATCCTTTAATATCAGATGTGTGGTCGTTGACGTCGGATATTATGTCTTTTGTACCGTGGGTGTTTTCCAATAGACTTTTCAATTGGTCTGAGTTCAGTATGAGTGGCGGGGTTTGGTTGTCGATAAAAGATTTAACAGACTTGAATGTAATTTCTGGTATGTGTGATGGTTGGATATCTATTTTGGGTTTCTTCATAGTTTGGTTTTTTGGAGTAACGAAGATTGGTTCACCAGAATTTCCAGGCATAAGTTCATTCTCAGTTGAGGGGGACAAAATTTCTGAGAGGCCACGTTTGTTACTAGTTTGTGTGTCTGAATCTGTGATATCGTTGGGTTTTGATTGGAGTTGGTTTGAAGTTGTGGCTGCAGTTGTTTGTGACGCTGAACTTGCTATGTTGGAGTTTGGAGTAGTTAGTACTGACGGTTGTTGGTTGTTTTCAACAGTGAATTGCTCTGATGCTGATGTTTGTGGTGTGGGTGTTTCTGTCTGTGCCGATGGGCATTGAGATGCAATATGACCAGAAAGCTTACATTTGAAGCATTTCTGGCTGTCAAGTGAGAGGAATATACGGTAGGTGAGGTTTTCGTAGGTCATTTCCACAGTTTCTGGAATTATGCTAGGCTCTACAGGCATTATGTATACCTGTCGCCTGAAGCTTAATATATGGCTGTACTCAGGTAAAGTTGCACCTATTCTTAGAAAGGATATGGGAGAAATGAGTTTTACGCCTATTTGCTCTAGTATGTCTTTCAAGATTTTGTGTGGAATGGTGGGACATACGTTGGATATTACTAATAAGTCTGCGAGCCTTTACTGACTCTCCATTAATGATGATTTCCCCAGGATCTTCAAGGAATTTGTCTACAAGTTGCTTGCTGGATAAATAGACACATATCCGATTATTGGATACTCTGGAGCAGAAAAGGATGTTTTTTGGGTCTACTATAGGACCTAGTCTTAGCAGATAATCTTGGATTTTTAGTCCATCGACAGCGTTGAAGATGATGGCTTGCTCTTTGTTTGGGTATTTGGTAGAACTTTGACTTAATATATCAGAGTATGATTTTGCAGAGTTGGTATTTTGTGATGTGTTTGGCGAATTCATGACTGTTTTATTATTTTATAAGGCAATTTGATGTTGTTATATCCTGCGGCATCCCTGAATACGGTCCTGTCCACCGAATTCGGTTTGTTTTGGTGCGCGATTTATACAGACGCAACCAATGGATGGAATTCCGATGGCCTAGGAATTTACAGATTGTCGTGTTGTATTGTAGAATTGAAGGCTGGTACTCACAGTCTATGATGGCTTCAATATTGGCAGGTAGATAACTTACACACTGGATTTTAATACGGCGTATTTCACTACTTTTGCTTGATTGTATCCGAGCACGATTCACTGGTTGCATGCGGCAAAGCGATCAGGAACGTAGGAACGACTCCGTAATGATGAGTTTAAATTGGCATCATGATAGGGATGAAATAATACAATCAGTTTTGCAGAATAAATAAATTCTTTATAATTTTTCTTCTATAAAAATTTTTCATATACTCAACAGGTTAGATTATGGTATATGTAACGATATATTTTCGCACATAATAGTTAAACTAACAACCTAAGCGTACAAAGATTACTATCCTTTTTATCTTTTTTCGAGAATAAAATTTTCTACAAAAAAGATCCTTTTACACAAGTCATTATCTATAATCAGGAATTCGGTTTCAAAGTGAATCTAATGTTTACTGCCACGCGTAGGTATGGTAAATCTAATGTTTTCGAATAATTTCTGGTGTAGTCATCATGAAAATGCAAGTCACTCACTTCCACCAGTATTGGCCATTTTGTCACTGCGTAGCCTCAGCAATCGTTTGCTATGATTTTAATGGAAATGAGTGATACCATAAACCAGCATTATCTATAACATCTCCTCTTTCATTAAAATCGCTGAAATGTTTACCCAAATTATTGGGTTGTCGGAAAAGTCATGACGTATATGCAACAAAGTATGCAATTGCATGGTTGGAAGTACGTGAGTCAATGACATTTGTATGTTGATTGTGTAGTTTGACAGTTGACACTTCAAGCTTCATTTGCACCAAAAAATTAAGTGATTTATTTGAGTCTCGTCGATTTTAGAGGACGTTGAAGATGGACGACCAAACTGTGCATTTTCGTCACATTTTGCTGTATTACTTCCGCAAAGGCAAGAACGCAAGACAAGCGTGTGAAAAGTTGAGAAAGGTTTATGGAGAACATGCACTACAAGAACGGCAATGCCAGAGATGGTTTAAAAAATTCCGAGATGGGGATTTTGATATCCATGACGCACCTCGATCAGGGCGGCCTACTGAGTTGGATAGTGACGAATTAAAGGCATTGGTAGGAGCAAACCCACATTACACCACACGGAAAATTGCAGAAACCTTAAAAATCCATCATTCAACCGTTCACGACCATTTGAAGAAACTGGGATACGTAAGCAAACTCGATCGTTGGGTACCACACGAACTGAGAGAGGTTCATTTGACGGCGCGTGTAGACATCTGCGATATGCTCCTTAAACGTGAGGAAAACGATCCTTTCTTAAAGCGCTTGATAACGGGAGATGAAAAGTGGATTGTTTACAACAATGTGGTTCGCAAACGGTCTTGGTCCCGAAGTGCAGATACGCGTAACACGATCGCGAAAGCAGAGAGTCATCAGGAAAAGGTGATGCTCTCTGTTTGGTGGGATTTTAAAGGGATCGTGTTTTTCGAACTCCTGCCAAAGAACCAAACCATCGATACAACTGTGTATTGTCGGCAATTGGACAGTTTGCAACAATCCATCATGCAAAAACGTCCGGAGCTCATTAATCGCAAAGGAGTTGTGTTCCACCATGACAACGCGAGACCGCACACAAGTTTGCTCACTCGTCAAAAGTTATTGGAGTTAGGATGGGATGTGTTACCACATCCAGCATACTCGCCTGATCTTGCCCCATCTGATTTTCATTTGTTTCGGTCGCTTCAAAATTCTTTGCGAGAAATACGCTTTACTTCAGTTGAAGCTGTACATCAGCACCTTGTTCAATTTTTTGCCGGTAAAGACAAATCCTTCTACGAGCGAGGAATTATGAAGCTGCCTGAAAGATGGCGAAAGATCATCGATCAAAATGGGCAATACATTATTGATTGAAGTTTGTGGTGTATATGAATAAAATGGCCTTAAAATAAACAAAAAAAAGCGTCATGACTTTTCCGACAACCCAATAGTCAGTGACAAAATCGCCAATAGAGAGTCTGATGGGAGTGAGTGACTTGACCTTCACAATCAAAACATCACAAATTATCAAGAGACATTTTCCATACTTTCACGTGGCAGGAAAAAAGGATTCACTTGAAAATGATAGATAATGGACAATGTACATAGCGTGTGGAGAATGTCTCGCGTCTATCATGATACGAACTTTCAACTTCCATCCATATACTCCAAGAACCATTAATATGACGGAAAAACGTAAAAGGCCCTTTTTCTAACAACAATTTAGATTTTTAGTTTAGCCATTATAGGCGCAAATATTATTACATGTACCTTTACCCTGTAATTTCTCGTAATCTGTTGACTATACACTAATTTTTTATGGAAGCAAAGAACTAAAAAAGATTTTCTATCACATTTTTACATAGGATTGATGGTTTTCGAGATTTTAGATCAAACGCGTTGATCACAATGGCGGAAAATGCTCCTACCGTAGCATGCTATATCAGACAACTTAAATGATGAAGTATTTGAAGAAGAAACACAAACATATCGTAGAATGCGATTCGGTAACGAAGCGGGCCACCTGTGAAAAGTAACATGGATCCCCATCCCTGGACCCTGAGCTATACGAATATCTCATTATGCTTTTTGGTGCGACGGAGTGTGGTCGCCTCATGTTTACCTTTTTTGCGTGTTCACAATGTGGTCAAATAGGAAACATGTGTTTATAACTAACGTTGAAGAAATTAGAGGGAATGCTACAAGACGTCTCTACAAGTGTAGGATACAAAAGAGATAACATGATAATAGCAATATCACGATAAACGTGAAAACATCTCATCTTAGAAGATTTCGAAGTACCGCCCCGTATCATTTCATTTTTACTACATGGGCAGTACGTAAACAATTCGATATGGGCAACAATGTCAGGGTAGTATTAAAGTCACTTACTTGGTGACGAACCGACAACGAGTTATCCTCCTTTGGCAAGCGATAAGGGCGATATGATCGGATTGTTGGGGCCAACACCTATTTTTAGAAAAAGACTTATGAGTATCTCCCGTATTCAACTGACTCATGACATCACATGCACAAATCTACTATTTACCATTACATTAATGTACCCCAACTACTATTACGGATTCGTCATTAACTGAATCACGGGATCGTCATCACACAGACTAATCCTGACCGTCACACAGACTGATCATTAAGTCATCACACAGACTTAAAAGGAGTCGTCACACAGACTCACTCTAACTCTTTGGTCGCTAGGTGTATGGGCAGAAACCGGGATATCACGCTGGCCAAGGGCCGTTGTGTCAATACCCCAAATGTCCGACGTTACCCTGAATCAGAGGTAACCGAGCAATATGACTATCATTAAAGTAACAATCCCTTCACACATCCTGCCCTGAGATACATTCAGACTGCCAACAGAAGATAGTTAAGCGGTCATTCAGACCAAGAACGCCACTTCGGCCAAAGGCCACCGTGTCAACATCCAAAGCGCTCCGACGTTTCCCCTGGTAGAGGAAACCGAGCAGTAAGTAACATAACTACCTCAACCCAGCAAACGGGCTCCGAAAGTCCCATAACAACCCCCAGAACCTGGAGGCGTCCCACTTGCGGATATTCAATAACAAGTCGTGAGCCATAAGTTAAATTATGAAGGTAAAAAGTATAGCATCTTTATAAACATGGCTTAAGACATTCATGATCATGAATATAAAAGTATTATGGTTATCAATCCATGCAGTACAGTAGAATAAAGGAGACACTCAGTGATTGCTCACCTTTCAGGTAACCAAGACACCACACCCAGTAGCACATCAACACTGTAATCAAGTTCACAAAGCGCACTACTTGGTCTGAGAAGCGATCTCATCCACGTAATAATTGAACTGTATCGCCGTCCACGCCCGTATAACAAAGTTTATCCTGGGAACAAGTACCCAGAGAAGGAATGGAATGTATAATGTAAACCGGCGTAAGGGCTGTCGCGCTGAGTGACACTAAGCAGCCTTGTGAACCTTCTGGAAAGGTTTTGTGTGCTACAGGGTTGAACTCGCATGCAAAAAATGTGTTTGAGATATTTCGTAAGCTCACACAAGTAAGTACGATGTTTATTATCGTTTTGTGTATCAGGGAAACGTGGTTATGATGAAAATGGCCTTAGGCGTCATCTATATCGACATGATGAATTTGTTTTTAGAGATTTGTATGCGAAATTTAGCATTCTACTACTTAAAGGTTAATTTCTCGTCGAAAACGGCCTTACTCGCCGTTTGATTCATCATGATAAAAATTATTATATATATTATCTAAAATGGCCTTACTCGCTACACATATGTATATTTATAACTAAAAAACAGCCTTGCTCGCTGTTTTTTTTGTAAGTTACTGCTTGTAGTAAATATCCCACAACCATTATGAGTCGAGGTGATTTGCTGTCTTTGCAAAATTACTAAGCAGAGTTTGAATAGCCTTTCTCGCTATTTAGACATATTGAATTAAAAATGAAAAACTGGCATTCTTGTTTCTTAGGTGGGAGTGACCAGGATATAGAACCCCGTAGAAAGAGAATTCGCCGCATAAGTGTTTCCTCATCAGATTCGGATCACAGCGATGTTAATCAGGGTAATATCGTAGTGGTCGATGTTCACAGAGAAGCACAACTTCCTCCAATACCCTCTGATAAAATAGATAGTATAAATAAAATCCTGGGAACTGATCCATCCATGCCTAAGGTTATGGGCAAGCCAGTTAGTGATCAGGTGGCCTTTAGACTAAATTATTACGCAACCAATGGGATGTCTAGCGATGAAAAAAATAAGACTCTAGTGGCCGATACCTGAAAACTGCAGCTCTTTCAACTCACCTACCTTAAATCCAGAGATTTTAGCACTTCTTTCGCCTACCGATCAGAAAAAAGATTCCTTTATGTGTAATCATCAGTGATAAGCAAACTTTTAGATATAGCAGACCTCCCTAATGTTGTAAAAGAAATAATACCTGACCTAATGACAGCAGGAAAACTTCAGTGCAACGCCCATGTTCAGTTATCAATGCATCGTAGACATCAGGTCTATCCTCTTTAAAATCTGACATGCAAAAACTAGTCAAAGAATCTAAAATGGATAAATTTCTCTTTGGAAAAACATTCATGGAGAAATGTAAAATTAATCAAACTACACTAAATGACATATAAATCCGAACACCCAGTTTAAATGGTTTTATTTTAATAAAATTTTGTAAGCACTTAATAAAGCATATTAAGTAAATGATAAAAATTTCAAACTGATTGCGACGTGGTGAAAGGAGGAATCCACAGTTTTTTGTTGAAAGACATGTTCATCACACTGTTGGAGTTATGGTTTGGGGTGCTATAGCTTATGGTTCCAGGTCACCTTTAATCTTCATCAGAGGTAACATGAACGCGCAGCGTTATATCCACGAAGTTCTAGAACCCCATCTTTTACCCTATCTTGACACCCTGGCAGATCCAACTTTCCAACAAGATAATGTCCGACCACATGTTGCAAGAGTCACAGTAGACTTCTTTCAACATAATGATGTCACATTGTTACCATGGCCACCAAGATCTCCCGACTTATCCCCAATTGAGCACGTGTGGGATATGATGGGTAGGAGATTGCTCAATTTGTAACGTCCTCCTCAGACTCTAGAAGCACTTCGAGAGGAGTTGGTGGTTGCCTGGAATGAGATACCACAAGAGGACATTGACCACCTGATCAGAAGCATGCCTAGGCGCGTTGGAGAATGCGTAGCACATCAGGGTGCATCCACACATTATTAAAGGTCAAAGGGCTTTAAAGCAGTGCAATCATTTTGAAATTTTTATCATTTACTTATTATGCTTCATTAAGTACTTACACAAAATTTTATTAAAATAAAACCATTTAAACTGGGTGTTCGGATTTATATGTCACTTAGTATATAAATAAATCTGAAGTAGAGCTGCAGGTGAGTAAAGTTCCTGTAAGCAGCCAAATCTTTAATAGGAGCCATTTAAACTGGCAGCACCCCAAAACATCCGTACGTTTTCGGAAGAGTCAGTTTGTACTAAACAAGAGAAAGGAGCCTCGAATACAAGAGAGAAACAGAAATCAATGGAGATCATCGAGAGGGATTACCGAAACGGACAAATTCAGTAGAAGTAAATGTCAACAAAATTGCTTTATTTGCCGGTAGACTAAAGTATTTTCAAGAATCTTGGAAATCTATAACGAATGACAGATTTATTCTGAGCTCTATAACTGGCTACGGTTTACCATTTTTTCATACCCCTAAACAATTAGTCCTGCCAAAAACCAAAAATCAGAGGTTTGTTATAAATCTAAAACAATTAAACAAATATGTAACAATCCAACACTTTAAAATGGAAAATAATAAAATTGTTAAAAATATAATTACCAACAGAGTATATATAGCCTCTCTAGGCTTAAAGGACGCCTATTTCTGTATACCGATTTACAAAAAACATAGGAAATATTTAAGATTTAAATTTAACGAGGTTTTGTACGAATTCTCTTGCTTACCGTTCGGCCTCTGCTCTGCCCCTTATATTTTTACCAAACTATTAAAACCAGTTATTTCATTGTTACGAAACAAAGGTTTTTATTCAGTTAATTATTTAGACGATTTTTTATTGTTAGGGCATAGTATAGATCAGTGTCGGACTAATATAACCGTAACCACTTCACTCTTAGAATCCTTGGGTTTTGTTGTAAATTACAAAAAGAGCTAATTAATACCCAGTAATATTTGCAAATTCATAGGTTTTCTTTATGATAGCATAAATATGTGCATGACACTGCCAGCTAGCAAAAAACCTGATATCTTGTTGAAAATTGACACATTTGTTAAGTTTAACAGTTGTAAAATAAGAGAGTTTGCAAGACTTTTAGGATACCTTATCTCGATTTGTCCTGCTATAAAATACGGTCTTATGCACACAAAATGCTTAGAAAGATATAAATATCTAGCCTTGAAAAATTCGAATAACAATTATAACTCCAAAATAATAATAACACTCAAAATAAAAAGAGAATTAAATTGGTGGATGACAGCAATTCCAAAATCAATCAAATCAATTCAAATGTCAGATGGGGAGCCGCGGCAGGTCCAGAACCTACCCAGGGTTTTTGGAGTTTACAGGAATCGAAATTTCATATTAATTTCCTTGAGTTGCTAGCTGCCTATAATGCTCTAAGATGTTTTGCAAGAGACCTTAAAGACTGCTCCATTTTGTTAAAAGTTGACAATACCACCGCCATATCCTACATTAAAAAGCAATCTGGCAGTGGTGTGAGTCTAAAAATATATACATATATATTTTTGCAACTTATATTGAATCCACTCGTAACGTGGTAGCTGATTTTGAATCAAGGTCGCTTAATTCAGAAACTGAATACGAGTTAAACTCTTTAGACTTTAAGAAAATTGTTCACACTTTTGGCCTCCCTAACATCGATCTGTTCGCATCCCAGTTAAACAATAAATGTAAACAATTCATTTCCTGGAAAAAAGATCCGAAATCAATAGCTGTTGATGCTTTTACGATAAGTTGGTCAAATATATTTTTCTATGCATTCCCTCCTTTTTCTTTGATAATGAGAACGTTGAATAAAATTATCAAAGATGGGGGAGGGGGGAGGGGATAATGGTGGTCCCTCTGTGGAAGGCACAACCTTGGTACCCAATTTTCAATAGGATTGTCAAGTCAAAATTGGTTTATTTAACTCCTAATAGAAATCTTTTATTATCTCCAAATATTGAACCACATCCGCTTTGGCCAAAGCTTACCCTGGTGTCATGAATTTTATAAGGGAAGCTCTTGCTCCAAGAAGACTCACGGATTCAGCTTTAGAAGTAGTTATCTCTTCATTAAATCCTAATACACTGAAACAATACAATACCGCCTATAAAAGATGGTGGGAATTTTGCATTTATTTTGCTTTAATCCCCCAACAGCAGATTTCGTTGATTTCATAGATAACAGTTTTAAGGAGGGTGCTAGTTATACAACACTGAATTCGTTTAGGTCTTCTTAATCTTAATTTAGTTATAAATAAGGAAGTTGATGAGAAACTTATTAGTAGGTACTTGAAAGGTGTATTTAAGATCAAACCTGTGTTCCCAAAATATCAAGCAACTTGGGACCCAAATCCCGTAATTGCATATTTGTCATCTTTACATCCCCTTTCTTCCCTAAGCTTTGCAGACCTAACCTATAAGCTGGTTATGCTGTTCGCCTTAGGCACAGCACAAAGATTAGAAACTTTTTCAAAAATTAAAATAGATAATATTTATCAAAGAACTGACTTCATAGAGATTTTAATACCGGATATCCTAAAAACATCAGGCCCCGGTAGGATCCAACCTAGACTGAGACTCCCTCTTTAGAGAGACCCCAGAGCTATGTCTCTCCAGCACATTGATAGAATATTTAAGTAGAAGTCAGAACATAAGAAATAATATACGGGTGTTATTTTTGACAATTAAAAAACCGTACCATCCAGCCTCGACTCAAACTCTTTCCAGGTGGTTAAAGAAAATTCTAGACCTGGCTGGAATAAATACTGGTACATTCTCTGGGTACAGTACTAGGCATGCCGCTGTTTCTGCAGCCTACAGATCACGTAGTAACATTGAAACTATAAGAGCCACAGTAGGCTGGTCAGAACGGTCAAACGTGTTTTTTAAGTTTTATAACAGGTCGTTAGATAGCAGTTTTTTCATAAATAACGTACTAGCTGGTACGGAAAACAAACAACTGAGGTCACGCAGGGATTAATTACATTACTACCTACTAAAATATTGTGTTAGACTCTAGTTACGTTTGTTGGTCTATAACATATAGGTTTAGAATAAGGACGTTTCTATATCGTATCTTCTATTTCTTGTTACGTTGTTGTTATTGTATATAAACTAATTGTTAGTTGTTCTGCCTTAATTAATATATACAGGGTGACTTTGAAGTTGAGTCATTAATTTTCAGATAATGATTGTAGAAGGAAGATAAACCAAAATATGTGTGTAAAAATAAAAAAAAAATTAAAAAAAAAAATTACCTTGTTTTATAAAGTATCCTCCCGACAAGTATTTCAGTGCGGACCTGTATTTGATCGCGAGGTCTTGGAGCACCGGCATGCCGTCTTAAGTCACCTGATTCACGAGCCCGTTGTACTACATTAACAAAGGCACGAGGGGTTGGTTGCACTCGATTGGGAAACCGATCCGCATAAACATGTGCCATTTTTTATTTCGTTTGAGCCACGCAACAGACACTACTATTCACTGACGCGTTACCGACTGTACACTGAGTGTATACAACACAACTGAATAAAATAATTGTAAAAACATCGTTCCAAATTCTTTCGCTTTTTTGTTTCCGATGCGATGAACCGATGGCGGATTATATCCGTTGTCGCCAAACACGAGCACATAATATTGTCATTGAGACAGGGCAGTACTCAAACTTCCAAAGGGCTATAACTTTGTTACTTTAATTTTACCAGAAAAATGGTAAAGGAAAAAAACATTTCTTTTGATCAGATCTACTCACTGTTAAAATAAATGACTCAACTTCGAAGTCACCCTGTATATATTAATTAAGGCAGAACAACTAACAATTAGTTTATATACAATAACAACAACGTAACAAGAAATAGAAGATACGATATAGAAACGTCCTTATTCTAAACCTATATGTTATAGACCAACAAACGTAACTAGAGTCTAACACAATATTTTAGTAGGTAGTGATGTAATTAATCCCTGCGTGACCTGAGTTGTTTGTTTTCCGTACCAGCTAGTACGTTATTTATGAAAAAACTGCTATCTAACGACCTGTTATAAAACTTAAAAAACACGTTAGACCGTTCTGACCAGCCTACTGTGGCTCTTATAGTTTCAATGTTAGTACGTGATCTGTAGGCTGCAGAAACAGCTGCATGCCTAGTACTGTACCCAGAGAATGTACCAGTATTTAGTCCAGCCAGGTCTAGAATTTTTTTTAACCACCTGGAAAAAGTTTGAGTCGAGGCTGGATGGTACGGTTTTTTAATGGTCAAAAATAACACCCGTATATTATTTCTTATGTTCTGACTTCTACTTAAATATTCTATCAATGTGCTGGAGAGACATAGCTCTGGGGTCTCTCTAAAGAGGGAGTCTCAGTCTAGGTTGGATCCTACCGGGGCCTGATGTTTTTAGGATATCCGGTATTAAAATCTCTATGAAGTCAGTTCTTTGATAAATATTATCTATTTTAATTTTTGAAAAAGTTTCTAATCTTTGTGCTGTGCCTAAGGCGAACAGCATAACCAGCTTATAGGTTAGGTCTGCAAAGCTTAGGGAAGAAAGGGGATGTAAAGATGACAAATATGCAATTACGGGATTTGGGTCCCAAGTTGCTTGATATTTTGGGAACACAGGTTTGATCTTAAATACACCTTTCAAGTACCTACTAATAAGTTTCTCGTCAACTTCCTTATTTATAATTAAATTAAGAGATGACCTAAGCGAATTCAGTGTTGTATAACTAGCACACTCCTTAAAACTGTTATCTATAAAATCAACGAAACCTGCTGTTGGGGGATTAAAGCAGTCTACTGCTCTACGGATGCAAAATTCCCACCATCTTTTATAGGCGGTATTGTATTGTTTCAGTGTATTAGGATTTAATGAAGAGATAACTACTTCTAAAGCTGAATCCGTGAGTCTTCTTGGAGCAAGAGCTTCCCTGATAAAATTCATGACACCAGGGTAAGCTTTGGCCAAAGCGGATGTGGTTCAATATTTGGAGATAATAAAAGATTTCTATTAGGAGTTAAATAAACCAATTTTGACTTGACAATCCTATTGAAAATTGGGTACCAAGGTTGTGCCTTCCACAGAGGGACCACCATTATCCCCTCCCCCCTCCCCCATCTTTGATAATTTTATTCAACGTTCTCATTATCAAAGAAAAAGGAGGGAATGCATAGAAAAATATATTTGACCAACTTATCGTAAAAGCATCAACAGCTATTGATTTCGGATCTTTTTTCCAGGAAATGAATTGTTTACATTTATTGTTTAACTGGGATGCGAACAGATCGATGTTAGGGAGGCCAAAAGTGTGAACAATTTTCTTAAAGTCTAAAGAGTTTAACTCGTATTCAGTTTCTGAATTAAGCGACCTTGATTCAAAATCAGCTACCACGTTACGAGTGGATTCAATATAAGTTGCAAAAATATATATATATTTTTAGACTCACACCACTGCCAGATTGCTTTTTAATGTAGGATATGGCGGTGGTATTGTCAACTTTTAACAAAATGGAGCAGTCTTTAAGGTCTCTTGCAAAACATCTTAGAGCATTATAGGCAGCTAGCAACTCAAGGTAATTAATATGAAATTTCGATTCCTGTAAACTCCAAAAACCCTGGGTAGGTTCTGGACCTGCCGCGGCTCCCCATCCGACATTTGAATTGATTTGATTGATTTTGGAATTGCTGTCATCCACCAATTTAATTCTCTTTTTATTTTGAGTGTTATTATTATTTTGGAGTTATAATTGTTATTCGAATTTTTCAAGGCTAGATATTTATATCTTTCTAAGCATTTTGTGTGCATAAGACCGTATTTTATAGCAGGACAAATCGAGATAAGGTATCCTAAAAGTCTTGCAAACTCTCTTATTTTACAACTGTTAAACTTAACAAATGTGTCAATTTTCAACAAGATATCAGGTATTTTGCTAGCTGGCAGTGTCATGCACATGTTTATGCTATCATAAAGGAAACCTAAGAATTTGCAAATATTACTGGGTATTAATTAGCTCTTTTTGTAATTTACAACAAAACCCAAGGATTTTAAGAGTGAAGTGGTTACGGTTATATTCGTCAGACACTGATCTATACTATGCCCTAACAATAAAAAATCGTCTAAATAATTAACTGAATAAAAACCTTTGTTTCGTAACAATGAAATAACTGGTTTTAATAGTTTGGTAAAAATATAAGGGGCAGAGCAGAGGCCGAACGGTAAGCAAGAGAATTCGTACAAAACCGTGTTAAATTTACATCTTAAATATTTCCTGTTTTTTGTAAATCGGTATACAGAAATAGGCGTCCTTTAAGCCTAGAGAGGTCATATATACTCTGTTGGTAATTATGTTTTTAACAATTTTATTATTTTCCATTTTAAAGTGTTGGATTGTTACATATTTGTTTAATTGTTTTAGATTTATAACAAACCTCTGATTTCCGTCTGGTTTCTGTACTAAAAAATATGAAGATAGAAATTGATTTTTACACGGTTGGCATTTATTGATTGCGCCTATTGCTTCTAATATATTGATTGTTTCTTTAAGGTTCTTAAATTCTATTTTACTGTAACTTTTGGTTTTTCGCAGGACTAATTGTTTAGGGGTATGAAAAAATGGTAAACCGTAGCCAGTTATAGAGCTCAGAATAAATCTGTCATTCGTTATAGATTTCCAAGATTCTTGAAAATACTTTAGTCTACCGGCAAATAAAGCAATTTTGTTGACATTCACCTTTACTGAATTTGTCCGTTTCGGTAATTGTATCTGGCTAGGTTCCCTCTCGATGATCTCCATTGATTTCTGTTTCTCTCTTGTATTCGAGGCTCCTTTCTCTTGTTTAGTACAAACTGACTCTTCCGAAAACGTACGGATGTTTTGGGGTGCTGCCAGTTTAAATGGCTCCTATTAAAGATTTGGCTGCTTACAGGAACTTTACTCACCTGCAGCTCTACTTCAGATTTATTTATATACTAAGTGACATATAAATCCGAACACCCAGTTTAAATGGTTTTATTTTAATAAAATTTTGTATAAGTAATTAATGAAGCATAATAAGTAAATGATAAAAATTTCAAAATGATTGCACTGCTTTAAAGCCCTTTGACCTTTAATAATGTGTGGATGCACCCTGATGTGCTACGCATTCTCCAACGCGCCTAGGCATGCTTCTGATCAGGTGGTCAATGTCCTCCTGTGGTATCTCATTCCAGGCAACCACCAACTCCTCTCGAAGTGCTTCTAGAGTCTGAGGAGGACGTTACAAATTGAGCAATCTCCTACCCATCATATCCCACACGTGCTCAATTGGGGATAAGTCGGGAGATCTTCGTGGCCATGGTAACAATGTGACATCATTATGTTGAAAGAAGTCTATTGTGACTCTTGCAACATGTGGTCGGGCATTATCTTGTTGGAAAGTTGGATCTGCCAGGGTGTCAAGATAGGGTAAAAGATGGGGTTCTAGAACTTCGTGGATATAACGCTGCGCGTTCATGTTACCTCTGATGAAGATTAAAGGTGACCTGGAACCATAAGCTATAGCACCTCAAACCATAACTCCAACAGTGTGATGAACATGTCTTTCAACAAAAAACTGTGGATTCCTCCTTTTACCATAAAAAGCATAATGAGATATTCGTATAGCTCAGGGTCTGTGGATGGGGATCCATGTTACTTTTCACAGGTGGCCCGCTTCGTTACCGAATCGCATTCTACGATATGTGTTATAGTGGACCGGACTTCGAATAATTCCGATTGAACTTCCTTACTAGGTAAGTCGTTTAATCTCAAAATATACAGCCGTGTTTTTGAAAAACGTACTAGTCGAAAATCCAGTCAAACAATAATAATAAGTAGTTGGTGACTATTTATTCTTATCAAATGTACTTACCCAGTGGTTTTTCTAGGGCAAGTAGGGGTGTTTGAATATCTGCCGATCGTTTTTTGTTTGCCTGTAGACGCAACTGCTTCATGTCGAAATTGCTGTGCAGTTTAGGTTTCTCATTATACGCTTGATTGGAAGTAGGGAAATCCGATAGTGATAACGATTGCTTTTGAGATTGCTGGAGCTGAAGGATCTCATTCTCCTGGAAGAAGTAAAACTATTTCGTATGACGTTGATACTGTAGCGTTTTTCTGGGTTCTTTGGGGTGTGGCTTAAAAACTCTAGATTCCACAAGAAGGAATGCACGAATTCATTTAAAACATACCACAACTAACTTTAACCTAACTAGCTAGAACATCTATGTACACCACTATTTATGTCTCACTACTTATTTATGAATTATTACGTCGCGCCATTCACTCAACTCCGCTTCCCTTTCCCAGCCGTCGGTTTATATATTCCGCATTGCCTCTTGTATTCGTCATTGTCCGTCAGAGCGGTCCTTGGGACCTTCGCTCTTTGTTAAAGTATCGTAGGTCAGTAGGTCTGTCAGGTCTGGTTGCCCAAATACCAGACGAAGTCAGGAAGAAAGAAAGGAAGGAAGGGGGAAGAGCAAAGATGGCGAAGTGCGCCGGTTTAAGGGATGCCTCGCTATTGTAAACTGGTATTCGGTTATCTTAAATTAATCCAAAAATTAATTTAGGAAGTTCTGTGTGCCAAAAATCGTAATTTTGGTTGGACCTAGAATTGCACGATTTAATTTTGATCACAGTGCGAGCCGCGGCCTTGTGTGCTTGTGAACTTGCTCGACTGTGTAATCTACTGACTCACGCAACAGAGCGTTGCGGTGCGATTCCGCTTGACTATAACGTAACTGCGCCTGATGTTTGATGTAGTCTCTTAGGTTAAGGGATGTCGAGGTCTCTGTGAAGGGTCTCGTTGGAGACATACCACGGTGCGTTAGTGATGGTTCGCAACGTTCTGTTCTGCAAAACCTGCTGATTACGCATAACGTTTTGGCAAGAAAACACCATGCTGCACATGCGTAAGTGATTGCTGGTCTGATAACCATCTTGTATAGCCGAACTTTGTTAACCAAACTTAATTTTGAGGTTCTACATAGCAAAGGGTAGAGTTGCCGAAACGTAATTTGGAATTTAGTTTTTAACGCTTCAGTGTGATTCTGCCAGGTCATCCCCCTGTCAAGAGTGACACCGAGATACTTAGCAGAATTTCCCCATGGTATGCAAGCTCCATCCACTGAAACGTCATGCGGGGCGCGCTACGTTTTTTAGTACAATAGATAGCCTGCATTTTCGAGTAATTAATTTTGATTAACCACCGATCTGCACATTCCAATACCCCATCCACCGCATTTTGTAACCTGTCGTGAACCAGATTCCCGGTAGGCGACTGGACCACCAGTGGAGTGTCATCAGCATGTAGATAGACTTCACAGTCGCTAGGGCAAGGATCATCATGCGGGAAAAGTGAGTAAAGGATTGGTCCTAGAGCCAAACCCTAAGGGACACCGGCTCTGATGGGCCGTACTGTCGACAAGAAATTATTAATTTTGATCCAAACTTTCCTACCTTGAAGGTAAGAATTCAAGAGTTTTAGGAGCCAAAATGGAAAGCTCTTTTGAATTGGTTTATTGAGAAGGCCCTTGTGCCACACCTTGTCAAATGCCTTTGAGACATTCAGAAGCAAGATGCCAGTACTTTCACCGCCACATATTTGTTATTTGCATGATAAGGGGCAAGTCGGTTGAAATGTATAATTCGGGGTTTACCGCGTGGTGCCTTCTGAATCCTGTAGAGAGCATCGTTGATAGCTTCCAGAACTTGATATGGCCCGTCCCAGGATGATTGAAGTTTAGGCGACAGCCCTTTTTGCCTCTTTGGGACGTAAAGCCAAACCGTATCACCGTTGTCATACCTCTGGTCTTTGGCATTAACGTCATAAGCTTCCTTCATCCGGTCGCTGGCACCTTGAATTGAAACATGACTATGGATGGCGTCTACTCTTCTACGCCGCTCACTTACGTAGTCTTCTCTGGCAGTGTCAGTTCCTGGTGGACAGCCAGACTTCAGATAGCATGGGAGAGGAAGTTCTCTCCCCATAAATATTCGAGCCGGGGTCTCTCCTGTGCTTTTATGAATCGACGATCGGTAAGCCAATAAGAACAGGTGAAGAAAACTATCCCAGTCTCTTTGATGACATAGCGTATGCCTCAACCCACTTGCTCAAGTAATCCATTACCACAATGATGTGTTTAATCTCTGCTTCACTTTCTGGAAAGGGTCCTGCCACATAAATGGCAATCCTTTCAAAGGGGCTCCTCACGTTGTATTGGCGCATCGAAGCTTTTGTTTCCTTTGCGGTCCATTACTTGCTGCACACACAATGCATTTCCTGCACCAGTGTTTTACTTCCGCCTTGCTATTGACCCAGTATGATCTTTTCCTCACTTTTCCCGGAGTTTTTGTTACTTCGAGATGACCTCCTGACACACCGGAATGGACTTCTTCTAGCAGCGATGGGATACGGCATCTGGGGATAACGATTTGCCTTCTTTCCTCTGTGCCGTCGTGGTCCACTATTTTAGGCAGTAAGAGCCCGCCGTCCATAACTAGAGAATTCCATTGTGCCCAATATGATTTAATGGTAGGGGAATACTTGGCAACTTCTTCCCAGGCTGGTTTCCGTTGTTCTTTCATCCAGTTCCGAATTATTTGGAGATCGGGGTCGCCCTCTTGGTCTTTAACGACGTCTTCACTTTGCCAAGAATCACTAACGATAGTGGTTCTTAATACTTGGGAATGTTTCTCCTCTGCCCGTTGGCTATGCTTAAAATCCTCTAAACAGCCTCACCTAACGTGCCCTGCGGAACTGGCCATTCTTTCACAGTCTGGATTTTCTCCTTGTCAACCGCGACTTCCTGACTGGAAAGAACATGGTCAATATACGGCACAGCTGTTTGAAACAGGTGGCATTTCTTTCGGCTTAATTTCAAGCCATAACCTCGTAGCCGTGAGAAAACTTCCTCTGGGTTCTTCATGTGGTCCCCAAATGATTTTCCCACCACGATAATGTCATCAAGGTGAACCAAGCACGTTTTCTAGGATAGTCCTCTTAGAATCGTATCCATCAGCCTTTCAAAGGTGGGAGGTGTACAGGCTGAATGTCATCACATTAAACTGCCATAATCCGGTACCCACCGTGAATGCTGTCTTCTCCCGATCATCAGGGGGCAATTCTACTTGCCAGTATCCGCTTTTTAGGTCTAGGGTGGAAAACATTTTTGACCCAGCCAGGGTATCCAGAGTGTCATCAATACGCGGTAGAGGGTAGCTGTCCTTCTTGGTCACGTTGTTTAACATTCGTTAGTCCACACAAAATCTGGTTGAAGCATCTTTGTTTTTAACCAAAACTACCGGTGAGGCCCATGGACTGTTGGACGGTTCAATGATTCTCTGGTTGGCCATACTGTCTACGATCTTGTCAGCCTCCTCTCTTTTAGCAAGTGGGAGCCTTCTTGCCATCTGCCGGATGAAGCGGACATTTTCCGTATTGATCTTGTGCTGGAGTATATTGGTTCTTTCTTTTTGTCCAGTATCGAATATTTATGTATTAGATGTTTCAGTTTCTTTCTTTGGTCTGGCATATTTCGAATGATTGCAGAAACTGGACAGCAATGTCCCAGCTCCGAGCCCTTCTTCAATGACAGAGGGTAATGACTGACATTCATTAGTCTCACGGGAATAGTTTTATAGGCACGCGCAAGGGCCTTTGCAACTGCTATCCCTCGGCCAATAGCCTTGTCATGCAACCTAGGTTCAACCATGACTATTTCACTACCGAGCCATACAATACAACTTCGCTTCATTCTGGCTTTTATTTGTGTTTTTAGCGGCTTCGAATTCTAAGGCCCGAGTTAGCGCATCTACTAGCTTAGGTGGATGTGCTAGTAGTAAAGCTTGGCTCATTTCACCATCACTAAGTACATTCAGGAATGCTTGAATTGCCAATCGTTTCATTATCCCCTCCTGAACATCGGGATATGCTAATCATGCCAACCGCGCAATATCCGCTTCGAAGTCATGCAAGGACGCCTGACTTCTGGAACCGATTTTTTAGTTAAGCATGGTAGACATGTTCGAAGTGTGACAGGCCATATTGCATCTCCAAATGTCCTACTAGCTGTTCGTAGACCTCTTGGTCTTACGGTGATATTATTTGGAGAATAGCTGCTGACCCAACCAGCCTCATTTTTCCAACTGAAGTCCACGCTGACGTTCGTCGATAGTCTTGACGTGTAAACCGTCAAACTTGCCTTGCACTCCTTGAATGCTGTCGTTCAAAGTTTCTAAAATCCCTGTTCCAAGTCGCAAGATTTTGTCCATAATTTTATCTTGCAGTTCTATTTTTAAATTTCTCTTCTAATTTGACTGTACTTTCATGTAACTCATTGTGTTTTCTTTCTAGGTTGACACAATTTTCCACGAGTCTATTTTCTAACTTGGCTGAGTTTTCTAAAAGATCGGTGGTCTTGGTCTAACGGTTTTGCAGCATTAAACCAATATCTCCTGCACCGGTAAAAATAAAATATCTGGGTCCTCGCCTTCCTCAATCAGTGCTTTACGAAGCCGCTCCTGTAATTCCGCTTTCTTTCCAGCCGTGTCGCACTCCCTTTCCTCTAGCTCTCTTTTTAAATCGGCAATTTTCAAATCAACCAATCGCGCCATTTTTCCTTCACTGACCGTCCGATTTGTTTTCACTAAATGTTCAATAATTTGAGATTAAACGACTTACCTAGTAAGGAAGTTCAATCGGAATTATTCGAAGTCCGGTCCACTAGAACACATATCCTAGAATTCGATTCGGTAACGAAGCGGGCCACCTGTGAAAAGTAAAATGGATCCTCATCCCCAGAACCGGAGCTATACGAATATCTCATTATGCTTTTTATTTGCTAGTTACTTTATTTTTTGGGTATGTGGTACTACGCGTCTAGGATGGGGTGGGATGTGTTCTAGTGGACCGGACTTCGAATAATTGAACTTCCTTACTAGGTAAGTCGAATAATCTCAAATTATTCTTCAGTCCGGTCCACTAGATCACATATCGTAGATGTTTAAAGTATTAAATGAGCTAGCAAATGTCATTATGTAATAACGTAAAGAGGAATTAAGGAATAATAAAATTATTAGATATGGATTGAATATAAAGTATTTTAATACAAAATGTGAGAACAAAAATTTTTTCATATATTTCCTTAACTTTTTTTTATATATATTAATTAAGGCAGAACAACTAACAATTATTAGTTTATATACAATAACAAGAACATAACAAGAAATAGAACATACGATATAGAAACGTCCTTATTCTAAACCTATATGTTATAGACCAACAAACGTAACTAGAGTCTAACACAATATTTTAGTAGGTAGTAATGTAATTAATCGCTGCGTGACCTCAGTTGTTTGTTTTCCGTACTAGCTAGTACGCTATTTATGAAAAAACTGCTACCAGCCTACTGTGGCTCTTATAGTTTCAATGGTAGTACCTGATCTGTAGGCTGCAGAAACAACTGCATGCCTAGTACTGTACCCAGAGAATGTACCAGTATTTATTCCAGCCAGGCCTAGAATTTTCTTTAACCATCTGGAAAGAGTTTGAGTCGAGGCTGGATGGTACGGTTTTTAATGGTCAAAAATAACTCCCGTATATTATTTCTTATGTTCTGACCTCTACTTAAATATTCTATCAATGTGCTAGATAGACATAGCTTTGGGATCTCTCTAAAGAAGGGGAGTCTCAGTCTAGGTTGGATCTTACCGGGGCCTGATGTTTTTAGGATATCCTGTATTAAGATCTCTATGAAGCCAGTTCTTTGATAAATATTATCTATTTTAATTTTTGAAAAAGTTTCTAATCTTTGTGCTGTGCCTAAGGCGAACAGCATAACCAGCTTATAGGTTAGGTCTGCAAAGCTTAGGGAAGAAAGGGGATGTAAAGATGACAAATATGCAATTACGGGATTTGGGTCCCAAGTTGCTTGATATTTTGGGAACACAGGTTTGATCTTAAATACACCTTTCAAGTACCTACTAATAAGTTTCTCATCAACTTCCTTATTTATAACTAAATTAAGATTAAGAAGACATAAACGAATTCAGTGTTGTATAACTAGCACCCTCCTTAAAACTGTTATCCATAAAATCAACGAAATCTGCTGTTGGGGGATTAAAGCAGTCTACTGCTCTACGGATGCAAAATTCCCACCATCTTTTATAGGCGGTATTGTATTGTTTCAGTGTATTAGGATTTAATGAAGAGATAACTACTTCTAAAGCTGATTCCGTGAGTCTTCTTGGAGCAAGAGCTTCCCTGACAAAATTCCTGACACCAGGGTAAGCTTTGGCCAAAGCGGATGTGGTTCCCTATTTGGAGATAATAAAAGATTTCTATTAGGGGTTAAATGAATTTTGACTTGACAATCTTATTGAAAATTTGGTACCACCATTACCCCCTCCCCCCATCTTTGATAATTTTATTAACGTTCTCATTATCAAAGAAAAAGGAGGGAATGCATAGAAAAATATATTTGACCAACTTATCGTAAAAAGGATCAACAGCTATTGATTTCGGATCTTTTTTCCAGGAAATAAATTGTTTACATTTATTGTTTAGCTGGGATGCGAACAGATCGATGTTAGGAAGGCCAAAAGTGTGAACAATTTTCTTAAAAGCTGAAGAGTTTAACTCGTATTCAGTTTCTGAATTAAGCGACCTTGATTCAAAATCAGCTACCACATTACGAGAGGATTCAATATAAGTTGCAAAAATATATATATATATTTTTAGACTCACACCACTGCCAGATTGCTTTCGAAAACTCAGAAAATTTCTTATATTTTACACCTCCCATACGATTAATGTAGGATATGGCGGTGGTATTGTCAACTTTTAACAAAATGGAGCAGTCTTCAAGGTCTCTTGCAAAACATCTTAGAGCATTATAGGCTGCTAGCAACTCAAGGTAATTAATATGAAATTTAGATTCCTGTATACTCGAAAAACCGTGGGTAGATTCTGGACCTGCCGAGGCTCCCCATTCGACATTTGAAGCGTCGGAGTAAATTACCACCTTATAATCCTGAGGCCTAAGCGAGACAAGTGATTTTGGAATTGCTGTCTTCCACCAATTTAATTCTCTTTTTATTTTGAGTGTTATTATTATTTTGGAGTTATAATTGTTATTCGAATTTTTCATGGCTATTCTAAGCATTTTGTGTGCATGAGACCGTATTTTATAGCAGGACAAATCGAGATAAGGTATCCTAAAAGTCTTGCAAACTCTCTTATTTTACAACTGTTAAACTTAACAAATGTGTCAATTTTCAACAAGAATGTATTTTGCTAGCTGGCAGTGTCATGCACCTGTTTATGCTATCATAAAGAAAACCTAAGAATTTGCAAATATTACTGGCTATTAATTGGCTCTTTTTGTAATTTACAACAAAACCCAAGGATTCTAAGAGTGAAGTGGTTATGGTTATATTCGTCCGGTAAGCAAGAGAATTCGTACATAACCTTGTTAAACGTAAATCTTAAATATTTCCTGTTTTTTGTAAATCGGTATACAGGAATAGGCGTCCTTTAAGTCTAGAGAGACGATATAAACTCTGCTGGTAATTATATTTTTAACAATTATATAATTTTCCATTTTAATGTGTTGGATCGTTACATATTTGTTTAATTGTTTTAGATTTATAACAAATCTCTGATTTCCGTCTGGTTTCTGTACTAAAAAATATGAAAATAGAAATTGATTTTTACACGGTTGGCATTTATTAATTGCGCCTATTGCTTCTAATTTATTGATTGTTTCTTTAAGGTTGTTAAATTCTATTTTATTTAAATTTTGGTTTTTGGCAGGACTAACTGTTTAGGAGTATGAAAAAATGGTAAACGGTAGCCAGTTATACAGCTCAGAATAAACCTGTCAATCGATATAGATTTCCAAGATTTTTGAAAATACTTTAGTCTACCGGCAAATAAAGCAATATTGTTGACATTTACCTCTACTGAATTTGTCGGTTTCGGTAATTGTATCTGGCTAGGTTCCCTCTCGATGATCTCCATTGATTTCTGTTTCTCTCTTGTATTCGAGGCTCCTTTCTCTTGTTTAGTACAAACTGACTCTTCCGAAAACGTACGGATGTTTTGGGGCGCTGCCAGTTTAAATGTCTCCTATTAAAGATTTGGCTGCTTACAGGAACTTTACTCACCTGCATCTCTACTACAGATTTATTTATAGTTTGATTAATTTTACATTTCTCCATGAATGTTTTTCCAAAGAGAAATTTATCCATTTTAGATTCTTTGGCTAGTTTTTGCATGTCAGATTTTAAAAGAGGATGGACCTGATGTCTACGATGCATTGATAACTGAAAATGGGCGTTGCACTGAAGTTTTCCTGCTGTCATTAGGACAGGTATTACTTCTTTTACAACATTACGGAGGCCTGCTATATCTAACAGTTTGCTTATCACTGATGATAAAGTACTTAAGCTTCCAGCTATGTCATTTTGAATATGACACATAAAGGAATCTTTTTTCTGATCGGTAGGCGAAAGAAGTGCTAAAATCTCTGGATTTAAGGTAGGTGAGTTGAAAGAGCTGCAGTTTTCAGGTATCGGCCACTAGAGTCTTATTTTTTCTTTTTCATCGCTAGACATCCCATTGGTTGCGTAATAATTTAGTCTAGAGGCCACCTGATCACTAACTGGCTTGCCCATAACCTTAGGCATGGATTGATCAGTTCCCAGGATTTTATTTATACTATCTATTTTATCAGAGGGTATTGGAGGAAGTTGTGCTTCTCTGTGAACATCGACCACTACGATATTACCCTGATTAACATCGCTGTGATCCGAATCTGATGAGGAAACACTTATGCGGCGAATTCTCTTTCTACGGGGTTCTATATCCTGGTCACTTCCACCTAAAAAACAAGAATGTCAGTTTTTCATTTTTAATTCAATATGTCTAAATAGCGAGAAAGGCTATTCAAACTCTGCTTAGTAATTTTGCAAAGACAGCAAATCACCTCGACTCATAATGGTATGTGGGATATTTACTACAAGCAGTAACTTACAAAAAACAGCGCGCAAGGCTGTTTTTTAGTTATAAATATACATATGTGTGGCGAGAAAGGCCATTTTAGATAATAAAATATTTTTATCATGATGAATCAAACGGCGAGTAAGGCCGTTTTCGACGAGAAATTAACCTTTAAGTAGTAGAATGCTAAATTTCGCCTACAAATATCTAAAAACAAATTCATCATGTCGATATAGATGACGCCTGAGGCCATTTTCACCATAACCACGTTTCCCTGATACTCAAAACAATAATAAACATCGTACTTACTTGTAGAGACGTCCTGTAGCATTTCCTCTAATTTATTCAACTTTTCTGTAATTATAAACACACGTTTCCTATTTGACGACATTGTGAACACGCAAAAAAGGTAAACAAGAGGCGACCACACTCCTTCGCACCAAAAAGCATAATGAGATATTCGTATAGTTCAGGGTCTGGGGATGGGGATCCATGTTACTTTTCACAGGTGGCCCGCTTCGTTACCGAATCGCATTCTACGATATGTGTTCTAGTGGACCGGACTGAAGAATAATCCACACCCCACACATTACACCAATGTAGCGTTTTTCTGGGTCCTTTTGGGTGTGGATTAAAACACTCGATTCCACAAGAAGAAATGCACTAATTTATTTAAAACACAACACAAACTTTAACCTAACTAGCTAGAACATTTATGTACATCACTATTTATGCCTGACTACTTATTTACGAATTATTATGTCGCGCCATTAGTTAGTTCAAGAAGGTTCCGGTACGCCACATAGTGGCAGTCCAGAACCTTCGAGGCCAGTCTACTATCTCGAAGGAGAGTGCCTGGCGCGATCCCCAATAGATGTCGCTAGTAGTCTCGTAACGAAGGAGAGTGCCTGACGCGGTTCCCAACAGATGTCGCTAGTGAGAAGACCTACATATCTGTTACGTATTGGTAGTTTTTTGGTAAATAAAAAAATAGTGCATACGCTGATTGATTTATTTGGCTAGATTTTACTCATGGAATACATTATTTATGCGAGTCTTTTTTTCAATCAGGGTTTAAAAACGCCAAAACAGTCTATCTACATTGCACCTTCTTATTAATAAATATATATGTTACGCTCAGGGTCATCGAGCGAAAAGACAGTTCAGAACTGGTTGTGGCCATTATAAAACACTCACATGGCCAAGCTCGTGATATGGTTCTTGAGAAATGCTCACGACGCGTTGTGGCAATCTCAGAAAGACCACAAATTCAAATTTGTGCCGTGGCTGCTATGTTAAGTCGCGTACACATCTGGCGAACGCATGTGGCCGAAGCCTTTCGACCGAACGCCGTCGGTAAATGTGTACGACCTAACAAACGCATGTGTTTGCCTTCGCGAGAGTTCGGTCACTGGGCGGTACATCAAAAGAAAATTGAAGAACGAATTCGTTTGGCTGTGTTTAGTGTGTACGCTTTTCAGTTTTTAAGTGTCTCATCGTGGTCATTTTGTTTTGAGTTTCTATTTAGCGATAATGGAGTGGACTAATTCCTCTTGTTTAAAACTTATTGGTTTATATCGAGAACGGGAAGTTTTATGGAATCCAGTGCATAAAGATTACAAAAATAAAATAAAGAAAATGGATGCCTGGAACGACATCAGCAAAACTATGAAAGGCGATACAGGGGAGGTCAAAAAGAAAATGGAATCTTTATTAACATCATTCCGACGTGAGAGACAAAAACAAGATAGCTCGTTTAAAACTGGCTCAGGAACCGACACAATTTTTAAATCTAGCTGGTTCGCTTTCAAAGAAATGCTTTTCTTGATGGACAAGTTTATACTATACCAAAAGACACTAAACTTTGTATCTTGTTTCGCGATTTTTGGACCGATTTCATTTAATAACCATTCAAAATCAGTAGACTTCATTCTACAAAAATTTACAAAAAGTTTGTATTCCATTTCAGCTTTTAGATCACTAATTAAGTCCATCCCTCTATACCGACTTCTGCTTTTGAACAATGATGTCCACCAGCGCCGTTTTCGTCGTTTCTTGGGGGCTCTTTCAATGCTTCGGTCTCCGCCTCACTAATAATAATATACAACGCACTTGCAATAATTATATCCTCATCATCGGACGCCATTTTTTACCATTTACAAAAATACCCGCGAACCTCGACGAATGACTGCAAACGAATTCGTTCACCGTAATGTGGACGGCAGAGCAAATTTTCCATCGAACGTCGAAATCATCGAATGAATTCGATCGAAGAGCTTCGGCCACATGCGTTCGCCAGATGTGTACGCGCCTTTATGCGAGCACTGTCCTGTTTCTTTTCGAATCTCATTCAGCTTTATTTGGTTACATTGGTTTGTGTTACTCGGAGTAACTCGGAGGTACCCACTACCTGTCAATACCGTTCCAGTGCTCTAGAGTGTCATGCACCTGAGCTACTCATTTTTTACATCCCCTGCCCCCTCATGCACCAGCTTTTTATTCGGTGTTATACGCTCCGAAATAGTGGGTATAACGAAAAAGACAATTGGTCAAGATTGTTAGGTGATGTATTTTTATCGTTTTTTTTTGCATTAAACTTACATTAAACCATACCAGACAATGCAGGATGGTAAAAAACTGACCCAGAGTTACAACGTACCTTTACCTTTGTTCCTGAATAATAGAGATCACAAGAGAGTGCAAAAATGCAGGTTTACAGCGGCTTGTAGTGTCTACATTAAAATATGAATTCGACACATTTATCGAGAAGCTTTACACTAAAAATTAAGACCGCTGACGCGTTGCGCAATCATTCTAAAAGCATCACCAGGCATCAATTGGATAGTCTGACAATGCTTCTGAAAATGAAGGTAAAATGTGTTTACATTTCCATTGTTTGGCAGTGTGATACAAATTGTCAATATTGTCAATGTCAAAGCAAAACAACAACAAACGTCGCGATCCCGTGCTCATATGCTAGCGTAGTTCGGGCGCATATTAAGGCCAATTCCCATCTAAGCAGCATCGAGCGGCGTGACGCAAAGCGACGCCGAGCAGCATGAAGCAGCGCTTTTATGTATCTGTTCCCACCTAAACAGCATGAGGCAGCATACGCGACGCGTAGTTTTGATCTAGCCGTCAAGATGTCATCATCTTCGTCATCAGACGATTTTATATTTCTCGCAGCTGTATGCCATGAACTTGAAAAGAGAAAAAAAAGTAAGCGAAAATATTGGGTCCATGACATATTTCGTGCAAGGCTGAATGAAGGCGAATTCCATACACTTTTTGGACAACTCCAGCAAGATGAACAGAAATTTTATAAGTACAAGAAAATGCTCTAGTGAAGCAATTAAAATAAGAGATGCTTTTAAGGCATATTTTAACTCTGATTCGGGGGCAGTTTTTTGGCAGGAGGATGCAATTAATGCCGGAAAATGGTAGAGGTTTTGAAATTTGCGTTTTTTTAAATAAGTCATAAATGCTTAAAAATGTTGCATATTCAGTTGATTTATGTAATTGTTAAGCAATCTAGTAACAGTTTAACGAAAATATCCTGTTTGTATTCAATTATTTCTTAAAAAGGACCCGTCAACAATTAGTTCTTTCATATGTTATTTAAATGGATAATTAAAGCAATAGTTAATTAGCACTTACCTTTTTCATTAATTTTATTCCCTATTTCCAACCAAACTATATCCTCCTACTTTGATTACTGTAGTTTTTATTAGCTATATCATATAATTCACTGTATTCATCCACAAGAAGGATAAGCTTTTCGATTTTTTCTCCGTCCATAATTAAAACTGTGATGATGACTTTTTGGCAAAATTCAACAAGTTGCTGCTTGCATGCGAAACCTTCTATTCCCTCCTGTCCGTCAACAAGCAGAGCCGCGCATGTGTAGCGACAATGCTGCGAGTCAATGCTTCACGAGGAATTAAAATTTTGCTGTGTCGCTCTGCTTAGGTGAAAACGGTTTCATCTAATTACAAGTTGACAATTGTGAGCAGCATTTGGCTGCACCGCTCGACTCTGCGTCGCGCCGCTCGATGCTGCTTAGATGGGAATTGGCCTTAACTCTCAATTCAAAACCACTGGACAGCACCTCTGTTTTCGACTGCTCCCCCTATGATATGGTGATAAATATTGACGATAGTGGTTTGTTTGTCTGGGTGCATCGAAGGCATCTGCTGTATTTGCATTATAGGCCAAGTAATATTGAGATTTTGTTTAAGGAAATCCTCCAGTTTTAGCGACAATACATCTTTATGTGGTATTGGTAGCAAAGGCGTACCCAGCTCAAGACGGAAGGGGCGCATTTTCAAAAAAAAAAATTATGATCACATCTACATAACTATGCTTGATATTTTTCTTTCCATTTGCGTTTCATTTATATAGAGTCTTCCACGGCGATTTGGCAATATTGCGCGAGATGCTTTTTAAGTAATAATTTAGTCGTTTGCCATACTTGAAAGCAACACATGAGATCATATTTGACAAATGTTTGTTATACTGCAAATTTTATATAGATATTTTTTTTGGGGCGTACATATCCCTTATAATTCAAACAGGCTGCTCATGTTTTCAGTCAAGTCAATAGGCCATGGAAGTTCTTTAATATCGAAATAACTTCAAATGGAAGAATAGCTTACAGATATAAGTAACCCTTGGACATATATTACAGATTAAAAAATATTTATAGCTTTTGTTAATCGGTCCTGTTGCGATAGAGACATCGTCAAAAAAAACTAATTAATCATTGATCCTTCTATAACTTGAAAAGTATCACTGGATTTTGAATTAATTTCGAAAGGCCGGTATATTATTACAAAAAAATCTATAACCCCTCATACTTAACTTTATCTTGGTCTTTCTTTATGATTTTGAACGTAATCAAAAACTACGCGGAGTAGAATTTGCTTTGAAACATCGGGAAACTGCTGTTGCAATATGTTATCTGGAAATGCAAAACATATTTGATCAGAATGACGAGCTAAATGGGGCTGTTATATATATTCTTTAGAGGGAATGCAAATAAAAAACTTATTTATCAAACTTCAAAGTTGTAAGCCTATAGGAGAATGGGGAAAGGGATGAAAACACCTTCGAAATTGGTATGTCTTGTTCGTTGCAATAGTTAATTGGTTATTGCAAAAAATCGTTCATTTTTTGCGGAAAAGTGCATAAGAGTAAAAATGAAATAGTAGCCAAAAGCTAAAACCTTTGTAGTGATTAACATCGAAAAAAATTCGAAAATGCTGAAGTTTCCCAGCGACGTAACTGCTGCAACAAATTAGATATACATAGAGTTCTTAGAATCTAATTTTGACAATATCTCCCTTACTATACTGCAACTATCTAAAACTGTAATGACTCATACGCGTGACCAGAGAAGGACCGCCGCCGGGCGACGGAACGGCTGTCCTCCAGATGGTATTTATAATAATTCCAAGTAAATGCTTTTGCTTTTTGCGTGACAGAAGTAAAAGGATACGTACAAACCTCGTTTACCTTCACTTGGTCGTGACTTCAAAAAATTATATCGGTTCGACGAAGCAAATGTACAATGGCTTGCGGACTAGTTGAGAATGAGGAAACTCGAGGAGGAGCACTTTCATGTATTCATAAAGTGAAGATATGTCTACGCTAACTTGGTGACCCTGGATATCGACAAGGTATTGGTCAGGAACTTGGTGTTAGTCAAGCAACGGTATCTGGGACTGTGGATAGAGTTGTAAACAGCAAGTTGCACAGTCGAACGAATGGATCAACTTTCCAACTACCAACCATGAACTGATGGAGGCCAAGCGGATATGACAAAGCATGTATACATTTCCGACAGCAATTGGTGTAATTGATTGTACACATATAGGGAGCCTGAAACCAAAGCGCCATGGAAATAAGTATATCAACCGAAAAGGGAAACCTACTTTAAATATGCAAGCCACTTGTGATGCCAGAGAGATATTCACAAGTGTTGATGTCAGTTGGCCTGGATCAGTGCATGATTCCAGAATATGGAGACATTCACAGTCTAGATCGCAACTAATAAATAAAGCAAATGTTGTACTACTTGGCGATGACGGTTATGGTATTGAGCCATGTCTAATGACTCCCTTGAGAAATCCTACTCCAGGTGCAGCAATAAATTATAATAAGCTTTTAAAACAAGAAAGAGTTATAATTGAACGCTGTTATGGCCAACTGAAACGCCGGTTTCCGGTATGTTTGCCGCGTAAAGTTGGAAAATGTGCAGAAAATAATTATTGCTTGTATTGTACTCCATAATGTTGCGAAGAGCTTGGGCGATCCTGACTTTGAGTTAGTTGAACAAGACCCAGATGAAGATGAAGGAAATCATGAGAATGACGAACTTCCTCTCCGCCAACTAGGTCAACAAATAAGAAGAAACTTGAGTATTATAATAAATAGTTTTACTGATTAAAGTGTATTTATAAGTTATAATAAGATTTATTTTCATGAACATTATAAGTTACAGGTGGCTTCTGACGCTGCATCATTTCTAATTTCGTTTTATAATACTCTTGTTGTAAAATACTTGTGTGGTACTGCTGTAATAGCACTAGACGCTGCAGTTCTTTTGTAGTTAACTCTTTGGTTTCCTGAGTTTCGTATTTCTCTGTTGCTAATTTTCTTTTTGGTGGCAATGTCTTCTGAATTGCTGGCGCTGTAATACTTTCTGTTTGCTCACTGCACTCGGTACATAGTTCACTTCCTTCTTCCTAAACACTACCAACCTGAATGGCACCTCTAATTTTCTCAATTGTAGGATTACAGTCACCTTCCATAGCTTTCAGCAACTTTCTTTCTCAATCTAACAACTTAAGCTAAGCCTCCAGTATCTAATGGTTTACTGAATATTGATTCGTATTTTTTCATCATCTTCTTCAAGGCATCGTGCTTTCTCATTTTTATTTTTGGAACTTGTGACAACGACCTGCGATGAACTGCAGGTCCTTGCCATTATTTTCTATAGTTTCCTCATCACTTGAGGATGACATGCTCATTAATTTGATCTTTTACTGTATCCAGTTAAAATACGCAACGGTCTGTGTAAGCTCTGGAGTACAACTGTCAGTGATGCTGAGTGAACGAACTCCCACGTCAACTACAAGCAGGAACAAGTCAGGGCATGTCGCTCAAGATACAAATACCAGTCAAACTTTTACTTCTTCTTGCAGGATATCCTCGTGAGTATATGAGTGAGTATATATATTATGATTATGAAAACAAGGATATGCTTACACTTCTACCTTTTTCTCCGAAGCAAGACCTTATACTTTTACCTTATGCTTCTGAGGATATGCTTCTCTTTTATGAATACGGCTCATTGGCATAGACTACTGACGCTTGGAGCTTGTTTCGTTGAGAGTCTAGTTACCGCGTGATATTGTTTGTTGTTAGAAGAATTGTTGTTTGGTTATTTCTGTTGTTATTGTTCGGTTAATGCTTATATTTTCTTAACCAGCGAGGGTGAGACTGGGAGTGGAAGTACTGGAAGTCAGGGAACAAGTAGAAAGCTTCGTAAGGCACTGAAAAAGGACGCGAAAGAAATCGTGATCAACGTGTTCAATTATTTGAACAAGACTACCTCGCAGGGAGATGCACTTACGCGTTGCGAAAGCATGACAGGCGCCCAGAGTGGACTGTTCGCAGGATGGTGCATGAATAGAAGGAAACTGGAACTACTGCTGATATAAAGTTCCATTTAAAGGAACGAAATGCCATTAAACTAAATGGCGATGGCAAAATGGCGTTAAGACGGGGACCGTACATTCACTCTTCTTTAGGAATGAGATACCAACCCTTAAAGCTAAACATGCAAAGATCAAGAGTAATGCCATTATACCCTTAGTGAGCGTTGAACTATTAAGAAGAACCCTACACGAACTTAATTTTCCTTACCAAATACGTAATCGGAAGTCAGGATTGACAGAGAAACCTGAAATAGTCGCGTAGCGTCGAAAATACCTACGCGAAATAACTGAATATCGACGACAGAGCAGTAAAATATGTATATTATTTGTACGAGACGTGGGTAAATGTAGATCATACAGTTTAAAAAACCTGGATAGACAAAAATATACTAAGTAACAGACAAGCAAGTAATGAAGGTTTATCGGTAACACGTGCCACTGAAGAGTGTCAGTCAGCCGGCACGTGTTAGATAATGTGGAGGTTATTAGGAAAGATGAAATCTCGAAGGATTTTTCAATAGTTTTTGCTGTCATCCATTCCACCGTTTTTGAGAAATAAGCTGGTATCTAGAAGCAATATTCATTCTAGGAACATTCGATTCACTGAAACACTCATAATGGCAGTTCACAGGACATCACTGTTTCGTAAATGCTTCACCTACAAAGCAATTATTTTTTACAATGATATACCTCGCACCACAAAATTACTATCATATGACGAATTTATGAAGAAATTTATTTTGAATAGAAATATAAATCAGTCACCAGTCACCACACAAATATTCCAATAGAACATTCCTTTGTTTGTATAACTGATACAATTTATACTTTTAACACCTGAAATATTGAATATCCTGTTATATACATCATATTTTTATACACCTAAGTTCTTTACTTGTAACCTATCAAATGATTTATGTTTTTGTATTTTTCAGTTTTTTTTTTGGTGGGAGTTAAGTGACAGAGCAAACTTCGCCCTCTAAATAAAGACGATTTGTCATTATTATTTTGTGGCAGGGCCAGATTGAAGGATTAAAGGGTACTTGCAAGTTTTTTTGAAATCGCTTTGAATATTCTAATATCTAAAAATTGGCAACGAAGCGATTCTGTTTACAGTAGACTAAAACTAAGAGTGAATTGTGTAACCGGAAATTTGGCAAAGAGGTAGCTTTTACAATGTAAAATTTAGTTTGATTCAAAATGCTGATACAAAAAAAATGGTAATATTATTAATTTGTTAGCTCTCCCGACCGTGCTTTCACACCCGCAGCTTGGCTCTATTAATAAAATAACCGTATTTCCCAAGCATGCATGTCGACTGTTTATATGCTATGCAATGCAATAGCAATACTCAAAAACAATGTTCTATGTTAGTAACAATTTAACGCGTACGAAGTGGCGGGTAATAGCTAGTGAACTATAAACTGGACAATTCATAACGCATGCACCAACCAATCTTCTTTTTGTTCACACATACACTTTTGTCTGTCATGTTAGAAACCACAAATCAGAAACAACTTATTGAAAAATTGTGACGGCCATATTTGCGCAGCGCTTGGAAAGCGTTTATGAGAACGTGAATAGTTAGCCTCAATTCCAAAATACAAAGCGAGAAATCATACTATAGTAAGTAGCCTTATTCGGATTCTACAGTGATCTATCCCAGAACTGTTTTGATTCTGTGCAATCAATTTTCGCAATTTTAAGCTGTACTGCGGTTGGTTACTGGTAGTTCAGAACAGTTGTGAGATCGTTCACTGTAAAACCTGAATAAGATATAATAAACTATCCAAAACCATAGACCTACCTTGTTCTTCTGTAAGTTTGTCGAGCCCCTCTGAATATAGTGATTCTTCAGCTTATCTAGGTGATATTTGATTTCTTGCAAGAATGTAACAGCTTCTTCCTTTGACATCTGAAATAATGAGATACTAAAGAATATTCAAGATACATTCATAAGCTGGCTATAAAGAAATGGCGTAACAATATAACAATACGATTCCTCGATTCAGGAAAGAAGATAACAATAGAGTATGGAAATAAGACAGTACAAAGTGTCACCTTTTACCAGAATCGACCAGTGCGAGAGTGCAAACAGCAAGCTGTCTATTGGAATCGTAACCCAGTTCGCATTTGACAGCCGGGTCATCACTGTGGCCGCTAGACGCCGCCGATTCTGGTGGTATAGTAGATACTGTCTATTCGACATTGAACAAACTGGTAATGAAGGTTTCGTTTGTCCGACCACAGGTTGGTCGTCTGTGGTCGGACGAACGAAAGCTATGTTACTAGTTTACAAAGTATGGGTTAGCAAAAGCATGATGAATTAGAGGGCCAATCATAGAATAATCCTAAGAAGTTACATATATGTTACGGATAAACAGAAAATACGTTAATTGTTATTATTATTATTATTAAATACAGTTGGCCTTAGTGGCCGGGCATTGAAGCCAATGCCCATTGCGAGGGGCAAAGCTGTTGCTATTCTTTTTCAACGCCCTTGTTCGGGCATTGGCGATGCTGACACAGTAACGACAAATGCTCAATAACCAACCAGAAAAAATAAATATTATTACAACTGGAATCCTAGATTTTACATCAACGCCTTTGCTTCTTCAATGTCAGCAATATGGTTGTTATATTCGTCAGCGTTTAAACAATATTTGCTGTACTTCCGATTTGTTTCTACAATGATATTTATGCTTGCTGCAATAGGTCAAGAAATACGTAGATTTTGTTTAAGCAAATCCTACAATTTGAGTGACAGTAAATTTTTTTGGTGGGATCATTAGATTATTATTGCTTCCTAATGATAGGTTCATAGTTTACGATTGATTTCACCAAACTTTGTTGCTAAAATAACTTGTAACGCTTTATTACATAAATTAACCATGGTATATTCCACAGCAGAAAGAGTTGAAATTATCGAAATATTCTTCAGAAATAATCAGTGCGCTAATAGAACAGCAGAAATATTTAATGAGCGACATGAGAACAGTAACGTGCATCGAAAATATGTTCTAGAACTTGTAGCTAAATTTCGGGAAACTGGGTCAGTCGCTAATTCCCTTTATAATGATATAAAATTAATGTACGTTCAGTAGTTTTGAAGATTTATTGACTTAAAGCTTAAATAAAACTAATACATCATCATCATCACATCTTACGGTGACTCTGTTTATGGACCTGCTCTTTTACAACGTGATGCCGAGCGGATTCAGATGATACAAAACTCATACATCAGATTTTCTTATGGAATCCGTAAATTTGATCATATTAGTAGCGCTTTTGACCAATCGGGATGGTTTAAGATGAACAAATTGAGGAAACTGCATTGCCTATCTCTGGTACATAAGACCCTTATCCTTAAAGCGCCATATTATCTTAATACAAAACTAAGCCTCCTCTGCCAGTACGATCAAAGATCCTCTAGGAATAAACTCATCTTACTTATCCCGCGGCATTCGACAGCATTGTTCACACGCAGTTTCTCGTACTGGGCACCCAAACTATATAACTGCTTATCAAGTGAGTATAAAGAATATAGCCTAAGCAATTTTAAAAAAAGGTTAAAGATGAGTTTAAAGCAGTCGGATGGCTAAAATTTTACTTTATGCATATCCACAGGTAATTGATTGTTTCCTTTCTCTGATAAGTGTTATATTCTAAGTTTTTTTTTCTCTCTCTCTATAGTTTGTGTCAATGTTTTCCAGGTCGGATTGAAAAACAGCATAAGCTGACACTCCACCTTTTCGTCACTGTTGCTTTTAAACCAATTATTTAAACCAATTATTTTGTAATCGTGTGTCGAATAAAGGCCATTTAGTATTATTATTATTATCATTAGTGGAGATCAATACATTTGGCAGCAAAGTAATTTAAAAATGAGGAATGAACTGACTCGTTAGGCAAGTAAATGTTGAAAATGGCCACCATGACTCTCCATGAAATAATAAAGATTTTGCTCAAAACGTTGCCGCACAGTTTGCAATATTTGAGGAGTAATTTGAAGGCACTCATTCACAATTCTTTGTAGCAGGTCTTCTAATGATCTTGGCCGAGTAGCATAGATTTTGCTTTTTAAATGACCCCACATAAAGAAAGCCAAAGGTGAAAAGTCTGGCGATCTTGGGGGCCATTCAATGGCACCTCTTCTACCAATCCATCGATCTGGAAACGTCTGATCTAAATATTGTCGAACACGTAATGGGTAATGTGGTGGGGCATCATCCTGTTGGAACACCAACCTATTCGCAGAGTACCGCCGATCATTCTGATTATAAGAAAAAAGGACCAACTAAATGATCGCCAAAAATACCAGCCCAAACATTTAATTTTTGTGGCTGCTGTGTATGAACCTCATGATAAATTCTGGGACTAGAATCGGACCAATATCGGCAGTTATGACGATTTACTATGCCATTTAAGAAAAAGGAACATTCGTCGGAAAAGCAAGTGTTGAATAGAAAATGTTCATCGTTTATAATTCCTTCACTCATATCTTCACAAAATTGTAATCGCCGATCAAAATCGTCTTCATTAAGTTCTTGTACCAGGTGAACTTTATACGGATGAAAACTATGGGCCTTTAGAATCCGTTGGACAGTACGTCGACTGACACCACACACAGTCTCCAATTTGCGGGTACTTAACGTAGGATCTACATAAACTTGCCCTAAAGCCCCCACTTCTATTGCGTCGTTCCTTATGGGATTTTCAATGTTGCGTTTTTTATTGGCGACTGACCCAGTTTCCAGAAATTTAGCTACAAGTTCTAGAACATATTTTCGATGCATGTTACTGTTCTCATGACGCTCATTAAATATTCCTGCTGTTCTATTGGCGCACTGATTATTTCCGAAAAATATTTCGATAATTTCAACTCTTTCTGCTGTGGAATACACCATGGTTAATTTATGTTATTTCAGCAACAAACTTTGGTCAAATCAATCGCAAACTATGTACTAAATTCCTATTTAAAATAAGTACGAGATATTTCCTTATCTTTCTTCAAGAAATAACTTTTTTGCCACAAAAAAACGCTCCAATAGCTATTTTCAACAACAAAATGATAAACAAACCATAGGCGTAGTGAAGAAAAACATTTACTTATTAAGTAAATTCTTTTAGTCAAGTTTCTTCTGAATGTAGTACAAACTAATCTGATGCACCTATTAAAGTCTACTTTAAGCTTTAAATCAATAAGTCTTCAAAACTACTGATCTGAAGTACATTAATTTTATATCATTATAAAGGGAATTGAAAGACCTTTAAAATAAGGTATCACTCGACCCCCTTTCCATTTAGGATTTTAGGGTTGGTGTCAACCCCGCCCAAGGGGCTGCTCGTGTTAACGTGATTTTTTGCCAAACTTGTGTCCCCCTCGAAAACAAAATCGACGGGTCTGAGCGTTTTAAAAAAAAAAACTGAGCTGCCAGTAAATGCGTCTGTTTCGTTTTCGATGCGCCACCCTGTATATTTTACTACAGCGTATTTGGTAATGACCTTATAATTCTGATTATCTGTTATGGGAGAGGAGACGGGCGGTCACGGACCGCCCATAGATAACAATGGGGGTGACTGTTCTGAAATAAATAATACTGATAAAATTATGGATATTGAACCGGCTAGACATAACTTGGATAATAAATATCGAGTGCATGATGTAGGACCATACAATGTCTTTCTAGAGCACAAGAACAAAAACCTAGGGAGGATTTTTCCGGTGAAAATAGGATTCCTTTTACAATAAGTTTAGGAATTCCAGAAAGATATTTTAGATATAAAATCTGTAGGTTTGAAAAGAGTACAGGTAATTTTTAAATCTTACGATGTTGCTAATTCTTTGGTAGAACACGCAATTATCAAAAAGAAAGATTTAGTAGCATTCATCCCAACATTTTTCAATCACAAAAAGGCTTGATTCGACTGGTTGACACATTTTTTTCCGAAGAGTATCTGAAACAAGCAATTATATGTGATATTCCTGTAGCAGAGGTTAAACATTTAAAGAGAAAAGTGGTGAATGAGAACGATAAAACAGTTAGTTATGTGAGTAGACAGTTATTAGTTGTGACATTTGTTGATAATAGAATTCCAGACAGTATTAAAATAAACACGGTAAATTTTCCCGTGGAACCTTATATACATCCCGTAATACAATGTCTAAACTGCCTTCGTTTTGGGCATATGAAAACACAATGTAAGGGTAAATCAAGGTGCCCCAAATGGCCCGAAGAATACATAAAAGATGATGATGATGTCAAACAATTCTGCATCGATTGTGACAGCTGTGATCATTCTACCATCTCAAGGGACTGTCCAGCCTACAGTAAGCAATATCAAATAAAGAGAATAATGACCTCCGAAAACTCCTCCTTTAAAGAAGCTGAAAAATTATACAATATCCCCTCTTATGCAAAAATAACAACAAATAATAGATTTTCATTACTTAATAATTTGGATAATTTTCCTGAACTAGCTGCTACGTCTAGTAATAATATCCCATACGCAACAAAACCGAAATCAAGGCCAATTAATCACATCGTGAAACCTCCTAACCCAAATAAACGAAAAAAATTAGAAACACCCCCTACATCACCTCCTCCCGTTTCCTCAGCAAAATTGCAGATGAATGTCCCGACCCCACAACACATATTACGTCAAATCGTAATAAACATAAGCTGTTTATATGTAGAGAAAAACAGCATCGCAGTGGATCTGTCCATCGTCTCTCCACGATACGTGGACAAATTTGAGTGAGAGGTGTATACAGATACTCTAGGTTCAGATCATTACTCCATTCTTATCCAAGTCTAAACAAATCACACGCAATTTTGTATTAATCCTGCGACCAAATGGAATAATATGAGAGATGACTGGAATTGCTTCCACAATCAATAAAGGTTTTTGAAAATA